GTACGACGGGATGTCTTATGTGAGCCGTCGCTGAGCTGTGCGCGTTGTCGGTGGAGTGCTGACGAGGACCCGTTGCAGACGTTTGACCCATCGAACACCTACGCGGGGCTCTAGGCTGCCTGCGCTCGTCGGCTGCCAGCGCCACTCGTGGTACGGCCCGTCCTCGCCATCGCCGACGTCCATTATATATTATCGCTCGTCAGCTGTTCGTCCTCCCGCGCCTCGACGTCGGCGCCCTCTTGAACACCCTACGCTACTTAATCGCCACCATGGAACCTCGCATCTCGCTCATCTGCCTCCCGCCGCGCCTCTGTACAAAAGCTGTACCGGATACTCGTGTAATCTCCGCGCCCCGCCTCAGTGCCCGCACGCCCGCCCAACGTTATTTGTGTTCCGTGCCCATCCCCTGTTGCCCCATCTGCCGTCTCACACGCCATTGACGTTCCAGTTCGCTTATCCTTAGACCGCCGGAGTCGGACCGCAGTGTTGTTACTATTGTCAAGCCCATCTTCCATCTTTAAAAGTGTGCATAGTCCCTTCTCTCTCTTCGTTACTACACCCTTGCATCGCTGTTGTTGTCTGTTGCCTCCTCTCTCTCTCGCTGCCCGTCCTGTCGTGTACCACACTCTTGCATCGCATCATGCAACCCGTGTATATACCTCGCACTGCCTTCTTCTGCTTAGCCGCCGCCGTACTGTCCTGCCCCTCCTTAATCCCATTGTAGTCCACCTTGTACCGCCGCGCCGCGCCAGCGGGGCGCCCGTTCCTTCGATCCAAGTTATTGGCTTCATTATCCAGACGCCCCTGTTATTGCCATCGGTGTTGTCGCTAGCATCCCAGAGGCCCGCCCGCTTCGCATCCCGTATCGTATCGCTTGTACTACTCGTACTGGACACATCGAGATTAATCGGATCAGACAGTTATTGCATCTTGTGCACCACACGAGTCCGTCTCCGTCTCCATCTCCATCTCCATCTCCCGTGCACAACCCGGCAAACCCTCATCTCCGCACCACATTGCACCCTCAGGAGCGTTCTCCCTCCCGCGTAGCATCGTCCGCCGCGGAGATCCCGCTATCAGCATGGCTTGAGCATGGCTAGTGATTAGTCCCTGGCGACCCGGCTCCAAGCCCGGACGCCCGTTCTCGGCGGATGTCCTCGTAGGTACCACTCCCAAGCCCGCGACCCACGAGCGTAACTTACAACTTGTACTACTACTCTACGTCACCCGACACGCGCCCCGCCCACCTCTCCCACCGTCGCTCTTCTAGCCCCCGTGCGCTGGCCTTCTAGCCCTCCGCGCTGGCATGCCCGGCACGCGCGGCCGGGCGCTGTATGCTGTATGCTGCATGGACGGACCTCGCGCCGAGGCGGGGGTACTAACACGGTATGCTTGATCCAGTCGTCGGTCGTGTTTGTTGTATAGAGCGCAGGCTGAGCTTGGGACGGGGCTGACCGACTCGGACAAGGACAAGGACACCCGACGTGCGTCCGGGCCTAGGCCCACGCCGATCGCGGGTCGCCCGTCGATGGATCTCAGTTCGCGCTTCAAGCTGAGTACGGAGTAGAGTTGGCGTTCGCGCCGGGGAGGACGTGGGGATGAGCATGAGCACGGACGCGGAGGCACAGGGGATCGGGCGGTCGGCGTGCTGCGAGGGGTCGGGACGGGAGCTCCGGCAGCCGCGAGGGTGGATGGCGTCGCGGTAGATGACCGTGAGACGGACGTGGCTGGTCCCCCCGCGGAGCACAGACTTGTAGCTCGACCCCGTTGAGATACTGCGTCGGTCGTGATCAGGGATCGGTGCGCGTCGAGCGCGTCGCGGACCTGGCTCACGTCCGAAGTCGCTGGACACAGATGACGCACGAGTCTCACTGCTCCAAACCAAGCGTCCGCGTCAAAGGCCACCGACGACAACGTGACTCACCGAACGCGGCCGTCTCTCGCGGCCCAGCAGGCAACACTGCACGGCCCCAGTACGCACTCGCCCGCCAGCGCGTCGTCCCACGCGCCCATCCATCCCCCCGGGGCCTCCCCATCCCCTCTCGCCCAGCCCACACCTTCTAGCGTCCACCGTCCAGCCCAGCGCGCGTGGGAGCCGCAGCCCACGATCCCGCGTGCTTCTCCAGGTACCCACGCGCACGGTCCCGGACACTGTACCGCGCACGTATACGTATACGCCGTCGCCTGCCAGTGCGCCGGGCCCAGCGGGATCTCGCTTCCATTATCCCGGCCCCATCGCAGCCTCGCACTCGGGGGCCCATCTGCATCGCGAGCCCCATCTCGCCCCTCGCATCTCGTCGCCCCGCCCGCCCGCTCGGTGGCACCCGATATGAATAGCTTGTCGGCGTGCTTCGAGATGGACAAAGTCGGACACCGCGCTGGCTCTCCGCGCTTCCTCCCTCTCGCTCGCGCGCGGGGCCCTCTCTGTGGCAAGATACCGACGCAGGGTTCGAGTGGGCAACACGCGCCTCCGCGGCCTCCCCGCGCGCGCGGTCCCCAACAACGTGAGGGCCGCCGCCGGCACTTGCAGCCGCACAGAACATCAGCGCGACCCTGCAGGGCCTGCCCAGGGATAGTGCGCCTCGTGCGTCGTCAGCGAGAACGGCGCAGGCTCAGGCTCAGGTTCCGGCGGCACGTCACGGCGCGAGCTTCTGAATCGTCTGGGCTTCCCTCCGAGTCCGGGCGGATCACGCTACTTCATTAAGAGTCTCGTAATGGTACGCGTCGCCGGGTACGGCCTGCGCCCTGCGTACTGTCCGCGTTTGGTGCGTCGTTCGCCGTAAGTTCACAGAAGCGGGACGGCCACGGGGTGCGCTGAGGTTCGAAGGACCCGGACGTACGCGCGACCCTCGGCTGCCAGTGGCCCGGCGGCCTGGGCGACGCGTGCCGTCCGAGGCGGCAGCCCGGGAGAGGCCTGCAGCTGAGGGCCGTGGGCTGGGTGGGTGGGTGCCGGAACCGAGTATCTAGTATCGAGGGCGGATGGCGAGCGTGCGGCTCGGACCGTCAGCAGCAGTGGCGTACGCGTCGACCACCACCACGGAGCGGGCGAGGGCGAGGGCGAGGGGGCGATTTGCGACGAGACGAACTCAACTTGGAGCGCACGCGGCCGAAACGGGCAGGAAGCGCGCCGCATCCGGCTTCATTGCGCGCACGCCCCCGGAACGCACGAAGCAGCAGTAGAAGCAGAAGCAGAAGCAGAGGCCTGCCCGTGCCAGTGGCTCGAACAAGCAGGAGAAGCGCGAGGGTGGCCGAGCGAAGCCGCAGGCGCGCCGGCGATAGTGCACGCAGGGCCGCGCGGACGGGCGGGGCGTCGAGTGCGAGGCGGGTGTGGATGTGGGTGGGATGCCCCGACGCGGACGCGGGGTGTGGATGCGCTGGTCCTGGATGGTCGAGGGCGTTGAGGCGAGGGAGGGCGATCGTCCTGCCCAGGGCCAGGGGAACTTGGGCAGATGTGACACGGTGCGTTCGAGTTGGCAGAAGGACCTGGTGTTGCATATGCATGTGGCGCAGCGCCGAGGGGGACGTCTGTCCCGCCGACTCGTCTTGCGCCGTACCTGGGAGTGGGTCTGTCGTGTCAGTGGGTGATGGTTCTGTTCGTGTCTCACGAGGTCGCGTTGGTAAGCCTAAGTCACTACTGGCTCGAGTGCAGGACGGAACAAGGAGGCATCAATGTCTTGACCCGACGTCGCACAACAACTCGTCCAGCGCCGTCCCAGTGCGATACACAACAACCTATCGCTTGGAATTCAACGGGGAGTAAGTTCGTAAGATCGCCATGTAAGTAGAGAGATGCGGCGCGTCGAGAACAATGTGTCCTGCCGTGATGTGATCACTCGGCAGCGCGACCTTGCAGAACGTGATTCAAAACAATCTCAATCGGAGAACAAGGTCCAGAGGCGTACTAACAGTGGAGGCGCCAGAAATACAACACGGCACCCCACACTCACAGGCGTGCCGGGCACGTCCTTCCCGGCGGAGCCTCCGCACCACATACGCACCGTCCTGTGGCCCGTTCAGGCAGGCAAGGGCGGGTGTAGTATCGCGATAAGTACGACGCGCAGTCGAGAAGTGCGGTTGTGGGCCAGCGGCAGGCGAAGACTCATCAGCGCGCGCATATTACGGAAGTGCAGATGTATGGGTGGCCAGTGGCACCCGCGCACCGGGCACACGAGCACCCCAGCTGCGACTCGGACGCGGCGACTCGTCCGTCTCTACTAGGCTGCATTCGCCAGTCCACCCGTGGCCCCAGACGCCAGTACACGGCTGCCAAACTGACGCGGCAGAAGTCAGGCGGCGTGGCGCGCAGAAAACATCAAGACGCAGCAAGGGGTAGCAGATCGGAAGATCTCATACACAAGGCCCCCGGGGGAGGGGGGGTGGGGACCCCCTGGATGGGCGGTTTCGAAATTACCTACCGATAATCCGAAAAAACCTGTTACCCTCCCCAACTCTGACCTCGATGAAGAAATTTCCGCACTTCTGTAGAACAAATTTGCTGTGGGGCGGATATTGACCGGGACCCACAGTGCTCACGCGCAGCGCAACCAACACCACCGGAGACCCAACGGAGACTGTAGAGACCGTCTCCTCCCCCTTTGGGCAGCATGTGAATGCGCGCTTGTCGCGTTATTCAGTGTTCAAACTTCAATGTTCAATGGTCTGCCATATGTCTGCTGCCCATGTGAGTCCTACCTTCACAGTTTTTGAATCTCTACTGAGTACATATTGATGTAGGGAGGCAAAAATGTGATATGGGTAAGGCATTGCTAGGCTATTCCCGTTACGAGTACCCATGCGCGAGCGCCGCGGCAATTGCAAGACCCAGCGCTGCAGACTTGCCTTGTCCATGGGCCGCGGTGAGGGTGACCGTTGAGCGCTGAGCTCCGAGTCAGTGTCTTCTCCGCAATCGCATCAACGAACGTGAGAATCGCCTGCGCTTGGTTGAGAGTTTTAGAGAGCTTGACCAGTTCGCCAACAGACTTCGTATCTGCAAGACTATCCTAGAGCGCCTTCAGCTCGGACGTGGCCTTGCCCTTCCCGTGTTCCTCCTCGATGGACTTGATGTCCTTGCCACGGGATATAGGGAGGACGTTCAGCTCGTCATTCAAGATGAGACAGTCGTCGCAGGAGCCAAGGGAGAGGATGGAGTGTTCATTGAAGCACACAACCACAGTATTATACACGGACATTCGGTACCAGGCATGGACGTCCTGCGTGCAGACGAGGAAAGTTGCGACAGCGTACTCAAGACGCACACAATTACGCTCGATGAAACTTGTTGCCAAGGTCGCAGTGTTGTGCGACACGTCGAACGTGCTCATACTACATCCGCCGGGAGTCACCTGCCAGTGCAGACGGTCAAGGTGCCCCGCGCGCGCCCGGATGGCCGAGTCCATCTCGGAGGGCACCCTCAAGCTTAAAAAGACCGCGCTGCTAGACCCCGAGCTTGTACTAGTTGCAGACTCGGCGAGTCAGTTGTTAGACGCGTCACAAGATACGTTGGAACGGCGAGTGGCACGCGATCGCATGAATGCGATTGGCGCCCGACCCGATGCCCGACGGAACCCGCTGTACCTCACTCCGTCGCCACAGGGCGGGTGAACAAGTATGGCTTAGACTATATATGGCTCCACATGTACGTAGCGTACGGAGGGTAAACATGGAGAATAAAAAAAAAAAAAAAAAAAAAGCTTAAAAAGACAGTGTGGTGCACGACGAGGAGGTCGTGATGATTGAGACCGATAGTATGTGTTATCGTACTGCATTCTGTGGCCTGTATGCCTGCCCTCGTTAGCGATGCAGGTTCACGTTGTCTACGATGTTGGTGACGTGACGGTCCCTCGAACTGAACTAGCTGACCTTCACGGCGTTGACTCGCGTCGGACGAGGATCAGCGAGACTTGTGGGAAGTAGTCAGTCGTGGCTTAGTTGTGCATGTCTGTCGGTTGGCACCACGAACACAGTGTACAGCCCTTCAAGTTCTGCAGTGTCGAGCTCTGCAACTTTGACCAGCTGTCGTGGTACCAATACCACTGCGAAGCTCGTGGACCCGGGCTGTACGCAACACTCAGCGCGCTCTACGTCGCGTCGTCCTACTCGCAGACTCAGTCCAGCTCTTCCGGACAGCCATGTTGTCATCTGTGAAACGAGTTACGAAGATCACGTGGTATTTAGTACATTTTCCCGTCAAATAACAGCACATTTTTAGAGGGTGGGGGGTCCCCCGAGCCACAGAACCGTACATCGGAAAAATATACAGGGGGGTGGGGTAGGTGGGGGGCCAGAATTCGGAAATTTCGGAATAATCTGGCCTTGTGTACGAAATTTTACTTCCTGCTACCCCTTGAGACGCAGCGCAAGTACTGGCCTCAGGGATGCGGAGGGGAGCGAGCGTACCGAACAGAAGGGGGTCCTACGCTCGAAACGGCTACATTGCGGGGCGCAGCGTGACGGCGAAGACGCATCCGAAGCGCGTCCGTGGCAGGCAGGCAGGCAGCACGGGGGTAGACGCGTCGTGCGCAGCGCAGAGGCCAATGGGCGACGCGTGCGCGGGACACACGGGCGCCTCCCGAAGACACGCTGGTGGGATCGGCCGGGCGCCTGCGCGGGGCCGCGCATTGGCTCGCATTGGGCCCGCGGGCGTGCGTCCGCTTCGGGACGCGTCCTCCGGCCAGATATCGATCCCATCGCCCGCGCGGATGGGGAAAGCGCGCTTTGATCCCCGCGTACGTGATGCTACGATCGCCCGCCCGATCCACCGCTCTCTGCGCGTGGCTGGGAGACTCGGAGCACTGGCAGCGTATTTGCAACGGCGGCTGGATATGAGGATGCGCGGGGGACGGTTTCGCGGGGATACAGGAACGGCCCACGCCCCCGCAGAACGAGCAATTACGCCGGATATGGTCTCATTGCTCGCACTCAGGCTGCTGCGCCCCCGATATGTACCGCTGCTGCGATGCCGCGATGTCGTCCAGCTGCGGGATGTAGCCTGGCAGTCAGCAGCCCCCGTCGGCGTGCGCACTGGGATGCCGTTGCGGGAGACCGGCACGGCGAGGGTGCCGGTGAACTTGGAAGTGGAAGAAGGGATGGCCACTGGCAGGGAGATCTCACCGGGAAGCAGTGCTAGGTGGCCGGCGAGCGCGCCCGTGCAGCTCGGAGTCCTTGGAACAGGCACTCTTCAATCGTCAGTACTTGAATGGAACGGGCTTTACGGAGACGGCGCGATCGTGCGTGATGCAGCTTGAGCTCGAGGGACGTCTCGTACGGCGAACGTACGAGGGTTCGCCGCATACCACCCAGCGCTTGACAGATCCCGACATGAGCAGGCTGCTCTGACACCGGGCGTCGAGGTTGTACCGCTGCCTCGACACGTCCGCGTCAGAGCCTGTACGTGTCCTCGTTCGTGGAGGTACGAATGCCACCTACATCAAGACGCACCTGCGACACCCTTGAACTTGGGATATACAGTCACATCGCGGTCCGCGGCCCACGGCCACGCAAGCCTGCCCCACAACGTCGCCTTCCCGTCTCGTGCGTCCCATCGCCCTCCCGTTCGCCGCGGTCAGTCGTAGAGTCGTCACGAGAGTCTTCACACAGCGCAATCGCCACGCAAAGACAGCCCACCCACGCAGGACCTCGCAACCCACCTCGCTCTGAACCGCCCCCCTCTCGCGGCCTCCGCAGCACTGCTACCCACCGCCGCGGACACGCTCTTTTCTTCTCGTTCCTTGGTCGAGGCCAGATGTTGGATGCGCACGGACCCCCGCGAGACGTCTCGCTGGCACCGTCGTCCCACAGGCAGCGATGGGCCCCGCTCCTCCGGCCTCAGAGTCCGCCGGCGCGTGCAGCCACCCCGACCCAGCGAGAACCCGCGACCCGGGTCCGTACTGCCGGCCCTGCGCCGGGCCAAACCAACACAGCAATCCCGAGGGAGGCCGCGGAAGACAGGCCGCCACGCAGCGTGTGCCCTGTGTCAGACGGTCGCGGGGGGACGCGCCTCCGCTCGTGCGTGCGTGTCCCGCGCGTCCTGTACGCTGCAGTGGCATTTGGGGTGCTCGGGCGCCGTGTGGGGTCGGTGGAACAGGGACGTCGACCGGCCGCTGTCGCGGCGGTGCTGGATCCCTGCGCATCAGTTGGGTACGGGGACGGGGACGGGGACGAGATGGACAGAGTGTGCCGGGGTGGAGGCTTGCTGTCGAGCTCGGCGTCGGGCATCGGCTGCAGCGCATATGGCACGCCGTCGCGTGGAGGGCAACGGCGGTCGTGGTACGGGGAGGCACCGTGGACCCCGCGTCCTGCTGGATACCGGTTGTCGCGTAGGCACTTGTGGAAGTCCCATTTATTTTGCGCGTTTCGTGGTCCCTTTAGACTGTGCGCCTGTCTCGGAGGGTCAGAGAACGCATGTGGGCTCGTGTGCAGCGCAGCGTTTCCGGTGCGGGCATCTGTGCAGCGTGAGGAAGGCTCCGACGATGCGAAGGGACATTTGCGTGTTACTTCTAGTACACCCACCGTGACTCGGCGCTGCATGCCAACTGCACCGTGAAGAGTATGTCCATGGCCGATCTCGCCTGACGCGGCGCGTATACAGTCGAGTGCTTTCCGTGCGCACTGCTAGAGAGTGAGACGGATCAGAGGAACTCGGCCGGAGCGAGATTGGGCGTACACACGTCTTCTTTCGATCCACACCGTCGCATGCGTGGCTCGTCCATTCCCTTCTTCGGGACGAACCTGGCTCGTGGCTGGTACAACATCATCCGCGCGGATCCGGAACACGACATCCGCAACACGAAGTCGATGCGCAGACGTGCTTAGGCAAGTGCCACGTCCTGCGGTAGGCGTCGAGGTCTACCGGACTCGGCTGTGATACCCAGAACTTCATAGCTGTCCGCTATGCTCGACGCGATGTCGCTAGATACCGTTGGCCGGGGGTGTCTGCGCGTCGCGATCAATCTGACGGAGCAGCAGAGTCCCGGGGTGGGCTGCCAGCCGTCGACGAGATAGTTTCGTATGGTATTGACGACCGTGCGGGCGAGGTCAACGCGTAGTCAGGCGATGCTATGAGCGAGCACTGATCATAGCTCGGGAGTCGAATGGCGAATGAAAGTCACGCACCGGGGATACTTCTCGAGGTTAGATGCGTGGTATGGTATGTTGCTCCTTGCATCATGCTGTATGGCCTAGAACTTCGAGTTTCGAGCTCACCAGTAGCTATCTGGCGATACGAGCTGTCATGGGAATTGAGCGCGGATGAGACAATATGGACATTGACGGGCCAGCAGGCTATCTTGAGTACTCAGCTATCGTCCTGATGCAGCACCGTACACACGCTCACGGTCGAGGGATGCTATTGTCTACCTCTACAAAAACGAACTGCATCACACGATGAACGTGCACAGTTAGCAGCGAATTAGCAGGCGAAGACGGACGAACTCACATGACAGATCGAACCGAGTAGCAGTGTCGTATGCTATAGATACTGAATAAACTTTACGCTTCCGACAAAAGCTCTGCCTACCGCCGTCACGGCTGGTCGTTCCCAATCTCCGTGAGCTTGCAGAACCTCTCCGCCTCCTCCGCGGGCATCTCGTAGCTCTCGCTGTCCGAAGGGAAGCTGCGGTCCCTCACCGCCTGCACGTACGCCTTCACCCCTCTCTCGACCTCGCCGCGCACGTCCCCGAACCGGCGCACGAACTTCGCCTTGTGCCCGCCCCAGGTGCCCATCAGGTCGTCCCAGACAAGGACCTGCCCGTCCGTCTCCCACCCCGCCCCGATGCCAATCGTAGCCGCCTGGCGCAGACGTCGGGTAATGTGCGAGCCGACAGCGTGCGGGATCGCCTCGAGCACGATCGCGAACGCCCCAGCGTCCTCCAGCGCGAGCGCGCTGTCCACCAGACCCAGCGCATCCCCCGCACTCCTGCCTTGGACGCGGTAGCCCGATAGGATCGCTTGCCGCTGGGGAAGCAGGCCGATGTGGCCCATGACCGGGATCCCGACCGTCGTCAGCCGCCGCACCGTGTCCACGACCTCCCTCCCTCCCTCGATCTTCACCGCCTCGGCGCCGCCCTCGCGCACGAGCCGCACCGCATTGCGCACCGCGTCGTCCGCGCCGGCGTGGTAGGTCCCGAACGGCATGTCCGCGACGAGGAGGGGCGCCGCGCTGCCCCGCGCGACCGCGCGGCAGTGGTGGATCATCTCGTCGAGCGTGAGCCGCGTCGTCGCGTCGTAGCCGAGGCAGACTTGCGCGAGAGAGTCGCCGACGAGGGTGATGTCGACGCCGTGGGCCTCGCAGGCGCGGCCGGTTGGAAAGTCGTAGGCGGTCAGCATCGCGATAGGGGTGCGTTTCCTCTTCATGCCGTGCAGGTGCTGAATGGTGATCTTCTTCCGCGCCGCATCTATTCTCCGTGAGCTGCAAAGACTCGACGAACAGAGGGAGCAAGACTTACTCTCGGGTGCCCTCTCCTCAGGACGTACGCTCATCCACCGCCGCCCGTTGCCTGCGATCTGCTGGAGTCGCATACTTCGGATCTGCTGTCTGGCGAACATAGCGTTCCAGGTCGTACCGTCGAGCGAATGGTGGTGCGACCATACTTTTGAACTACTCGTCCGTGAAGGGAGGACGCTCGACTCGGAATGAGCCCACGACGGTGGCGAATTCCGGGCTGATCATTTGGCCGGCGGTGGCTTACTCTGCGGAATTTCACATGTATGTGCAGCGCCGACACTGGACATAAGCACTCTTTGATGAGACAATCGGCTGTGACACAATCAGCTAAAATATTGTCGTCAATACTCATGCGCCGGGACTCGCAGCTCGGTCGTTGCACTATGAACCGTCGTGCGTAGACGACGCTGAGCCGAGTCGAGGCGAGGCGACGGCGGTGGCGAAGTGCTCCTACTAAGGCCAAGGCTCGAACGGGCAGTGAGTTTACTATATCGGGTCACGATCTCGGACAGCCTAGCTAGTCGGACACTCGAGCCTCATTCAACAACCATGCCTTCTATAGCTATGAAATAAATTGTAGCATGTTTCTATACATTCGTTTAATGCCTGTACAAAATTTGAAGCCAATGCATTGAGATGTGTGTGCAGGAAAAATCACCCTTTGCGATGATACCCATTTTTGGTAAGCAGTGGCTTGATATCCTGGACCGCTCGTCCATGACTGGGTACCTCACTCGAATTCTGATGCATCATGGCCTAGAAACAATCAAGGTCATATATTCAAATATATTTCTATGAAATGCAGACCACGAAGGTCGGCTTCTGCAATGTAGCAAGCTATTTTCCGATGATGTGACCGACTTCCTAGTCAGTGTGGGCTCATCCTACTCTCGACCAGAGATTTGGCTACCGAGCTTGACTCAATGTTTGTGTATTTTTCTCATATTTTTCTCATATTCCTGAGGTCTTTTAACATACCTTCTCACAAGAATTCAGGTCATCATGGCCCACACAGAGTGAGGAGGCTTTGTCGATTGCTAGGGTGGCCGAGATCGTGACCCGATATAGTATTATCGCGCGAAGACGATCGCCCACGTACCACCTAGACATCACTGATAAGACGCCTTGGTAGGCTGCCAAGCGCCCCCGGCGTGGCAGCCTAGCAAGGCTGCAAACCCTTCTAAACGCCATCTGCCAGTTTCTGGGCAGTTTCCCCTCGCCCTTTTCCTCTATAAGGTAACAATCCCTTCTGCCCCTTCGCGCACGCCCAAGTTCCTCCGGCGGCCCACGTGCTGCGTGGCTGAGGGCGCTCCCCGATCAAGGATCTCGTATCCCGATCCCCCGCGTCGCGCCCGATGTTCGGTAAGCCGCTGCCGCCCCCGCTGAGCTCGCCGCCACCGCGTACGCGCCCACAGCGTTGCGCTCGCCGTCGCCGTCAACGACAACGACGGGCTCCGCGAGGGTGTCGAGTCCACACCGACTCGGATGCTGCCGAGTGGTGCGTTCCCGAGCCTCGCGGGCACTCCCACGGCTGTTGATGGGGAGATTCCCACGCATGCTCGCCGCCGCGCCTGGCGCTGTGCTCGCTGTCGACGACGACGAGCTTGAGTATCTCGCTCCCCTCTTCGTTTCTTGCCACAATTTCTTGAGCCATGTATCTAGTAGTGATATTCAAAGTGTATATAGGCTTATAAAGTGTATACAATGTGTTGTTACCTCGGAATAGTATGACTATCTCCCCAGTAATGCCTACCTAGTACCCATCAATAGAGCGGTCAGAAGTGAGCATAATATGCTCTCATAAACTCTAGATAACTGGTATGATTATCCACAAGCAATACATAGTGTTTGATGAAGGATTACTGGCCCCAAAATGCGAAACTTCGCCATAAGGGGGCATGCATAACATTACAACCTCTCCACTGTAGCTCATGAAAGCTCTACCAGTATGTTGCAAGAACATTCATGTACTGTTTTATGTATACTCACAGTATCAGGACTAGTATATGTGCCTCAATGTTATGAGGATGTTCACATGTACAAAAAGCATATCCATTCATTTGGAGCCTCTACATGCATCCAGACATTATGACAACTTCTCAGAATCTACATTGGCATCATATCTGTATGGAATACACTTACAATAAGTTTCTAAGATGAGATGACAAGGGCATTCATTCAATTAGCTATAGGTGGCTACAGGAAGGAGAAGAACTTATCACGTCATACCCTGTGGTTGGATTGTCTCCAAACTTGGTATACAGTATGTATTGTATATCTCAATGCTATATGTGAGGTCTCTTTGGGATTGGACAAGCAGGAAGTCGTGTAGAGCGAGACGAACATCATCTCGGGCAGTTCGGGGACATGCCCGAAGCGGTGCCCGAGTGAACATCGCTCGAGTGCATTGCACACTTAACGAGTGTACGGGCGCTTTCACGCCACTACGACCACTTCTGCATACAGACCCACCGGCTGTCACCTCATTGACTCAAAACAACTTCGGACAAGTACTAACATTGTTTTACCATTAGTGGGTACTATTTCCGTTTTATCCGACGCCAATCAAGGACGAGGTGCATGATTCCGACTCACTCTTTTTCTCAGCCACTGGGTCAGCCACCAGTGCGAACATCATCGCATCGCATGGTGTGCATACAATCCTGTTATGTTTTTATACCCTAGCATTGTTTGTTAGCACTAATAGATGCCAAAACATTCAAGATCTGTGTATATACATGCATTAGATGCTGTGCAACAGAGCCAGCCATATGTGTGGCATTCCACCTACATTTGACCTCTATCAACCCCAGTTGCTACAGAGACCGTACAACAAGTAGTGAGTAAGCATGCATGCATTCAATGAGTATATTAGTACTGTTTCTTTGAGTACCAGTACATTGGTTGAGATGTTATACATGGCCACTTATGGCGGAGTTTTCACTTACAGGGCAGGATGGCTTGCCTATAGTATTGAGAGACTAGTTATGTATCATAACAGTAGTAACAATGAGTATAAAAGAGCACATTATTCTCGCTTTTGACCGCTCTATCCATGCATAATGCACAGGCATAACTGGATGTAAATTCATACAATTCCGAGGTAACTACTGATTCTATATACAATAGAGGCCTATATACAGTGTTCAAATTGATACTATATGTATGTAGCACAAAATCGCGACGAGGAACGGACAGGGGAGCGAGATACTCAAGCTCGTCGTCGTCGACAGCGAGCACAGCGCCAGGCGCGGCGGCGAGCATGCGTGGGAATCTCCCCATCAACAGCCGTGGGAGTGCCCGCGAGGCTCGGGAACGCACCACTCGGCAGCATCCGAGTCGGTGTGGACTCGACACCCTCGCGGAGCCCGTCGTTGTCGTTGACGGCGACGGCGAGCGCAACGCTGTGGGCGCGTACGCGGTGGCGGCGAGCTCAGCGGGGGCGGCAGCGGCTTACCGAACATCGGGCGCGACGCGGGGGATCGGGATACGAGATCCTTGATCGGGGAGCGCCCTCAGCCACGCAGCACGTGGGCCGCCGGAGGAACTTGGGCGTGCGCGAAGGGGCAGAAGGGATTGTTACCTTATAGAGGAAAAGGGCGAGGGGAAACTGCCCAGAAACTGGCAGATGGCGTTTAGAAGGGTTTGCAGCCTTGCTAGGCTGCCACGCCGGGGGCGCTTGGCAGCCTACCAAGGCGTCTTATCAGTGATGTCTAGGTGCCACGTACGGACAGGTACGGACTCGCAACTCTGCATTGGGGACAGAGGTAAGTTGTCGCCGCTCCTCAAACATCCTCATGACCTATGCCGCCAGAATCGATACATCTACGTAGGGGGATCCGGTTTACTTGATGTCCTACCAACGTCCCGAACCTTGTGTATTGGTATGCATGCGGTTGTCCCAAGAAATCCGATATCCATATGCCTAAGGACATCCGACACAGTGGTTCGACCACCAGCGGTACAACAATCAGCGCATGCCGTCCGACCTGCTTCATTCTGCGAGCTTGCGAGCACCACGACGACATATTTGCATGTCCTCAATAGACACAGGCAACACAGAATCATCGGAAAAATAATGTTATCCAATGCGTGCAGGTAGCTACTTGTACAACAGTCCTTTGCGTTCTACACTACAGCTTTCAGGGAGCTCCTCCTGAACATCAACGCAACACACGTCAACAGCGACACCAATACCTAATGCTCACACACACAAGCGACCACACCAACACACGTACAGATCAGAGAAGATAAGTGTTACTGCAATGCGAGAGGAGAGGGGATCAGGGGAGGGGGGCGGAGATGCGGCGACAGAGTGAACAGGGGATGCATACAATGATTGTACAATGAAGCGAAACGCGAAAAAGATCAGTGGGAGAACGAAGTGAGAGTCAGTCCTCGCCTCGACGCGACGAACGACGTAGGCGACCACGCGCGACAACCTCCGCGACGCGTTGACGGCACGCGAGACATCCCGATCGATGACGGAAGGCTCGACACCCAGCCGAACACGCCGGACAACAACACGAAACGGCCGTCTTCAGCTAGCCTGCCAGCCCGAGTGAACCAGGACGCCGTGCGGGACCCACGCGGTAGAGGGCCTGACAGCCCAAGGTCCGTCTCGTACCCTTTCCGCGCACGGGCACGAGCTATCGGATAACAACGCAGGGACCTACGCGACCACCTCTGCACTCGCACTCACGCTCCGCGGATGCGACTCCGTCCGCGACCGCTTGTGCTCGCCGTTGCCCTGCGCGGCCTCGCTGTCCTCCTCGAGCTCCTCCGACGGGCGTTTGCGTAACCGGCCGGGCGAGGGCGTCATCGGGACCATCGATGGTGAGTACGATCCATCCGTCCGTGCACGCTTCGGCGGCGAGCCGCCCGCCGCGCAGCATCCGTCTTCGTGTCTGAGTACGCGTCGACGTCGAGCTCCTGCGAGGACCGCTTGCGTGGGTTCACCCCGCGGAGGACTACCTCATACTCTGACATGTCCAGCTCGGACACGCTCTCCTCCACATCGTCGTCGTCATCGTCTCCTCCTCTTCTTCCTCTTCCTCCGCGCGCACATCTCCACTTGCACCTGAGGAATCTGCACAGCGGGGTGACGTCGGACGTGGCGGTCTGGTCCTGGACCGCTGCAGCGTTGGCCGCAGCATTCATCTGCATGACGCGTCGTTGGCAGATGGAGCAATAGCACTGGTACAGCGGAGCGCAAGCATTCGCCCACGACTAGACGGTGCGGTCAGTAATACTCGCATCAAGAACAAAGAAACGTACCGATCGGAACGTGCCGATGCTATACTCTGGGAGATGGGATACCTTCGCGGGAACATACGGAATGGGGTGCATCAGCTGCGGGGACTTGAGGATCGGGCTCGACTCCAGCGCAGGCGGGATGGCCGACACAGGGGAGGACGACATCGCGTCATCGTCCTTGACGCTACTCGGTGGGGGCGACGGCGTCGTCTGTAGCGTCGTGGTCGACAATCCGGGACTTGTCATATGCGACCCGCTCGATCGGGACGATGTCGACTCCGCATCGTCGTCCTTCTCCCTCCGCCGCCTACGATCGTGCTCCTGCTGGTTCGCGCGCCACTCGAGCCAGTCCACGCCCGTCCGCCACACCGCCTCGTCCCTTAGCGCCACGGCGACGTCGTCCACCGACATCCCCCGCGCGACCTCCACCGCGTCCTTCCCGTCGGCCGCGCACTCCGCCGCGAGTCGCTGCACAACGTTCTGCATCGCGGGGAAGACGATGTCCCGGAACTGCTTGACGTACGCCTGGTATGTCATGCTGGATATATTGTACGTCGGCGGGCGCAGCGCGGCGATCGTCTTCGGACGCGGGTGCGCGAGCTCCCCGCCGTCCGCGTGTGCCTCGCCATCCTCCAGCGCGCCGTCGAACACAGATCCCGCGTTCCATGGGCACGGGTGCTGTGCCTGGGGAGTGTTAGCGGTCGTGCTCACCCAACGCATGTTGTACTCGTCCGTGGGGTTCACCCAGTGCCCGTCCAGGATGCGATTCCGCGCAAAGTCCGTGATCGCGAGCTCCCGAATGCCCGCCGCGTCCTCCGTGATGCTCACCAGCTCCGCGTCCTCCTCCTCCTCACTCAGCTCCTCTTCGCTCACGTACCCCTCCGCGCCCTCTCCGCGCCCCGCGAACCGCGACGCGGCAAGCGCCTGCGAGAGCATGTCCGCTAGCTTAGTGTTTACTTTGAACCAATGTTTCTCCTTCGCGAGCTCCAGCACGTCCTTGATCATACCCTCGCCGAGGTCCACGAAGGCTTCGATCGCCTGTCGGGTCTCCCAGTCGTCTGCCGTGAGCTGAGGGTTGCCGCCTACCGCCTCGCGCTCCAGGGGATCGTGCTTCGCCGCCAGCCAGATACCCTGTTTCCGGCACATTCGGCATGTGGTTTCGACGCCCGGCCACGTCTGGTCGTCCTCGTTCTCTACCGCGCAGACCGACAGGCCCTGCGCATACTCCGCCTCGCCTTCCATTGTGGGCGCCTCGCGGAGGCACACCCACAGAACGTAGATTTTCGATGGTCCTTGCACGCCATGACTTGTCCTAACCATGGGTTCGTGATGGCGCGCTTCGCCACGGCGAGGCCGTTGGGCGTGAATGGATAGTTGATGCGGCAGACGATACAAGAGCAGCCGAAGATGTTGCGAAAATGCTGATATGGGGATAGCCGCACGGGCTTTGCGTTGGCGGAACCGCCTTTTGATGTTGGGTGGATGACAGAATGGTGGATGAGCAGGTCTTGAGGGTCAATCATGACACATGCTTGTCGCCAAAAGGCATGATATTCAACTGCGAGATCAACAAAATGAGCATCATTATATCGAATTCAGGTACAGAGTGTACAGTGACGGGGCTATACATTGTTTCCCTCGGCCTCTGCACAGGGTACTGCCGAACCAGGGGGACAGGTAAACGTCGCCCACGCGAACGCACGATGTCTGAGAACTACCGAAAAGCACCGCGCCAATGGTATGCTCCATGCAGCGGAAAATGCAGCATCTTCATACATGACGCAAAATGAAAGGCGCGTATTTCATGAAGGTGAAACAGCAATGTGCGCGGAGATGAATCATCGCTCGCGGTGATCAACGGAAATGCGGTCAATGCACGGCCAACATGCACCGCACCAGTCGGCATAGACACAGGATGGACTTAGCGTCCGAATGGCTTGCGCCACAATGGTTTGGGACTACGCGCAAGACTCGTCTCATCGACGGTGATAGCGATACGCGCTGTCTGACTTCAGGATGACGGGTATTGCGCATAGACCCGGGCGATAAGGGCGCAGCAGGGACCCAGCGTCGCCGGAGCTATCAAGCTCCGCAAGGCGCGACGCGGTCACGGTCAAGGACGCGAGTGAATGTGAAAGACGACATCGTCGATATCGACGTTGGGACGATTGCATGTAGGGAGGAGCGAGAGGGACAAAGGACGACGTATGCCCGCGCGACAATGAGCGGATATGAATGGTAGACTCACGAGCTGCGCCCCACGACGGATATACGCGCATGAGCCGTTCGACCTCGTAGGTGTCGCGAATCAAAGACCAGACAAAGCGGGAAGGCCACATTTGAGGGTGCTGCCACGTCTCGGGACATTGCGCGTCGGGCGCGACATTGAGGAGATGGAATGTGGCGATGAGGCTACGCTGCCGTTAACGTCGAGTGGCGCACCGGGCGCGAGCGACTCACCGAACGACCTCTGGGGGGAGATGGGGCCAGAAGAGGGGGGACTTGCCCTTGAAGACGATGCTCTTGCGCTCGTCGTCGTCGTTGGCCATGGAGAGGATGCTGAAAGCCATCTCGAGACTGCGTGGATGGCGTCCGTCACGGCGGTATGGGTGGTGACAGATCGCGACTGAGGGCATGTCACAGCCAGCTCCCCCAACCGCGGACGCTTTTCCCACGCACGGACCATCGTTCCCAAATGGCGCAGTCCCGTGACCTGACGCGTCCAGCACGCGTCGCGTCCCAGCGGCGCCGTGCTCTATGTTCCCTGGCCAGAACACGTCGTTCGTTCGTCAATGGACCCTTGAATCTCTGAAAGTGGTCATTCCGCACATGCGCGCTCTAATTCAGCGATGTACGTGACATGCGGGGAACCAGCGCGCAACAGCCAAAGAGTCGCGCTGTCGACGCATAGCAAGCGCACTCCCCATTCGTCGACGTTACATACATCGCCAAATCGGTTGAAGTAGGTACGCGACACTCCCATCTTCATTCTTGTCAACCTCGCATCCTCCGCGCGTCACACTCAATCTGGGATTGGCGGTCGATCGATCGCACCCGACGAATCTTGACGACTCAGACTTTGATCTCCGCGCTTGTTGCCCTCAATTTACCAGATCGTCTCGAAGATCCGTCTTGGTCTGCGCTGGTGGCTGAGACACGGGTCTAACGGTCTCATCACGTCCCGCGAGCATGCGACTGAGATGCCGTCATTATCTCCAGATTTCACGCAGCAGACAGCCAAGGTGTCCGTGACAATCGACGTGCCACGGCTTCGAGAGCATCAATTTACTCACGACGTGGAAAGCCCTATACTCGCAAGGACATCATGATCATCGACTGCGCAAGTGTCAGCTGCGGGGCTTGGATGAAAGGCACATTAAAGGATGAACTAGTCACGTCTGTCTTGATTTCTCGGATTCGAGATTTACTGCAGATGTACTGACATCGAGTCGACCGCAGGGCAACGTACGAACTTGGAATGGCCATCGCTGTCAAAGCAAGACTACAGACAAACGAGTTGGAAGTAAGTAATTTAGCCAATAAGTCATACCTGCTGTACTAAACTGTAGACACCGAAAACATGCGTCAGATCAACCGGCCTAGATGCGGACCAAGTGCACTCGTAAATTCTGCAAACAGGACGAGATTTGGGCCGGTCGCACAGCACCTCTACAGTATAAGGAAGATTTATTGAAATCGCCAACATTTCCACCCGCCAGAAATCCCGTCCTGTTTGCATATATAGGAACGAATCTGGGCCAGATTTCAGACGTCCTCATTCTGCACCGTGTCGCGTGTGTACCGGATTCCAGTCATCATAGAGCGCGTATGCAACACCGAAAGACCGGGGATGCCCAAAAAGCCTGTACTACTGAACGCGCGCCTTTTGTGATCACACCGAGCCGTCTCTCGGGCCCGGTCACCCGCGCGCGTGCAAGCCCTCGCCTGCAGCTGACGACCTCTTAACTCTCCCCCCCACTGCTTTTGTCTTACACCACGTCAGTAGCCCTGAAAGGTTCCGATTTTGTACACGAATCTAATACTCAAGTTCGCAGCTCGCCTGCCGGACAGACGGAGCACACGTAACTCACGGTATCCACACACGCCCTTAACGGCCAGTACAGCTAGCCGCCATGTACATCGCCGACACATCCGACCTCACCCTCGACATATGGAGCTTGATGCGCTCCTCGGCGGAGCTCCTCGGGAAGGGCTTGTTGTGGGTGAGCGCAATCACGTCTGTACGCGTACCAGGAGCACGGGTGCAGCAGAACTGGAATGCGAGTATGGGAGTCTCGAACGGGGAGTATCTACTGGGATTAGGTGCGTGCATGTACGTGCCCGAGCAATGCACGATGCTGAGACTTAGTGAACAGGCATCGGAGACATCACAGGGTACGAGACACCGCTCTACACTGACGAATGAATCTCATATAAGCGTGCAGGCCGGTGGTTGAAACGAACATGATGGTAAGTCGTGCTCTCACTCTCACCGCCGAATGCCGACTCACGACCGACGCCAGGGCTACGCAGACAGGCAGCAAACCGACACAGGTCTGCACATGCGCCAGCGGAGCCGCGCCTGGATCGTAGCAGACCCCTCCGCGCCCTCCAACCGCGTCGTCTTCATCAACGCCGGTAAGCCCTCCCTCTCCCTCCCCACCCTCTCACGCCCACGCCCCTCCCACAGACATCGGCATGGGCGACACCGGCATCCGACGCTCGATCATCCACCGCCTCTCCCACGAATACCCGGACCTCTACACGCACACGAACATCGCGCTCGTCGCGACGCACTCGCACGCGGGGGTCGGGGGATACCTCGAGAACCTCCTCCCGCACATCACCTCGCTGGGCTACGTCCCCCAGACCGCAGAGGCTATCGTCGAGGGCACCGTCCTCGCCGTCCAGCGTGCGCACGCGAGCCTCACTCCAGGTAGGCTCCGGCTCGGGAACGCGACGGTAGTAGGAGCGAATATCAACAGGTCGCCGAGCGCGTACTGGCGAACCCCGAGGAGGAGAGGGCCCGGTATGAGGCGGATGTGGATAAGGAGATGACGGTGCTGCGGTTCGAGGATGGGGAAGGGAGCGCGAGGGGTTTCTTGAGCTTCTTCCCGGTTCATGGCACGAGCCTATATCAGGTATGGGCGAGCGCTATCGTTCCGCGCCCCAGTGCACAACTGACGACTCGCCGGTGCCCCACAGAACAACACCCTCATCAGCGGCGATAACAAGGGGATGGCAGCCTACCTATACGAGGGTAGGCATTCCGCATTTCTCGCGCAGTGTGTAGCGCACTGACAGAGTTGTCTCGCAGCCATGGTCGAGCCGGACGCAATGCCCGGACAGACGAATTTCATCGCCGGTTTCACCCAATGTACGTACTGTCCTCCCATTTCCTACCCTCGCATCCATCTAAGTCCCAATACCCTAGCCAACGTCGGCGATACCAGCCCCAACACGTCAGTCCTCGCGGACCCTCAGCGTACCGTCACATCTCGCTAACCTCCCCGCAGCCTCGGCGCCGTCTGCCAGAGCCCTGGGAAGCCCTGGGACGGCAAGCCGTGCGACTTCGAGCATTCAACGTGTGGGAACACGACGCAAGACTGCCGCGGCCGGTAAGTCGTCCTCCGTATCCCCGTCCGCTGCATATTGAATGCAGACGCGCGATGCAGCGGCCCGGGCTTCCGCATCTCGGACTTCGAGTCTAATAGGATCATCGCGCAGCTCCAGGTCGACGGCGCGAAGAGCGTGATGGACCGCCCTGAGGACATGATGCCTGTTGCTGGACCGGTGAAAGCGGTGCATACGTATGCGGACATGTGAGTGCACCTGAGAGTCAAGCTGGGAAGTGCGTTGCTGAGATAAGGTGGATGGTGTACAGGAGTTTCAGGTCGTTTGAGCTGCCTGATGGGAGGACGGTGCAGACCTGCCCGTCTGCATTGGGTACGTGTGACGTTTGGTCTGTTGTACAGTACAAGGAGGCTGAGTTGGATCTTAGGCTACTCGTTTGCAGGAGGGACAACGTATGTCGAGCCCCGGTGGACGTGCATGCAGCTGACCAGTTTCCTATCCAGAGACGGTCCTGGCGCGTTCGATTTCACTCAGGGCGATAATTCGACCTCACAGTACGTACCCACACAGTATGCGACAACGTCGTACTCAGCATCCTCCCTCAGGAACCCGTTCTGGGAGTTCGTGAAGGTCGCGGTGACGCCCCGCCCGCCACCCGAGCAAGTCTTGTGCCACTATCCGAAGCCTATCCTTCTCGACACCGTGCGTGGGTTAACTTCTAAAAGCCCGACATGTACTCAATACGATGACTCTTGACCACAGGGCTACGCAGAGAAACCGTACGCGTGGTCCCCCAGTACAGTCGACATCCAGATCCTTCGCGTTGGCAACCTCGTCATGCTCATTATCCCTGGGGAGATGACCACCATGGCTGGCCGGCGCATCCGGTCAGTCCTCCGCCCTATGTCCACGCCTGCGCGACCTCAGGCTTACTGTGTTGCATGCTCACAGCGAAGCCATCCGTGCGAATCTCATCGCGTCCGGGGTCATCGGCGAGGATGCTTATGTTGTAGTGGCGGGGCCCGCGAACACGTACGCGCATTACGTGACGACCCAGGAGGAGTACTCGGTGCAGCGGTATGAAGGCGCTTCGACGATCTTCGGGCCTCGTAGGTGTACGCACTCGTGGGGAGACGTCCGGGCTGACGACTGGCCGCAGATACGCTGGACGCATACATCCATGAGTACGGCAAGCTTGTGCGGTACCTCGCACCCGGCATCACGGAGATGCCGCCGTCAGACGCTGCACCTATCGATCTCACTAGCGAAGTCATCTCGTTGCAGGTTGGGGTCTGGTCGCGAGCTCTGACCATCCTGTGCTCATTAATTTGATTAGCTACCTGTGATACAAGATACAGCGCCGCTTGGCAAGAACTTCGGCGACGTGCTCGCTGACGTTGAGGTGGACGCGCCGTACCATGCAGGAGACACTGTCGCTGCCCGATTTGTCGGGTACGTTAGTCTCTTTCGCTGCATTCTATCATCACAGACTGACGATGCCAATATGTCTCTGGGGCGTTTCAGGGCCAACCCAAGGGTAAGCGTCTATCGGACCTTCCTGTGCAACCACTGAGCTGTGCGCCGGGGAATAGAACAACCTGCGCCTGGAACAAACTTTCTTGACAGTTGATAGATGGCTTGACGAGCAATGGGTCCCGGTGAGGTCGGACTCGCACCCCTCCACGACGTATCGTTGGGAGAGGACGAACGTGGTCAGTGGCATTGGTCGTAAATCACAGTTCCAGTGTTTTGACATCGGATGAGCAGGCTTTCGGCGTCAGCACCGTCAATGTCACCTGGTGAGTGTCTGTCACCATTCCAGTTGGCATTCTGCTGATATGCTATCCAGGACGGTTGAGCCAGATACGCCTGGTACGTGTTGTCTTCTGACACTAGCTATGAAAGGCTGGGTTGACGGGAATGCTTGCAGCTGGCACGTATCGGTTCACCTACTACGGCGATGCGAAGCACATCCTTGGAACCATCACCCCGTTCATTGGGCGGTCGTCCAACTTCACTGTTGCATGATCTCAATCACGATCATAACGATGCTTGGATTCATTCTCTATGCTTGGACTGATCACCTGTTGTATCCTCACACCTCGGACTCCGTTGTGTACTCCCCTACTGACCTATACTGGAATGCTAGCACATGTGCGGACTGTATCACAGTTGATGTAGCTTCGTTCTGCGGTTTGACAGTGCGTCGTGATCCTGCTTGGGGTATTGTCAACGTTGCGAGTGGCCTTTGATTATCTTACCGGTACTTATATGAGTGGTGAGTGCCAATCGGACGCGGTCAGTGATTTGACGAGTGGATAATTTGATTGCGATGCATACTTGTCTAATCGCGCTACGCCCGCGCGCTGTCTTGATACGATGATCACAATGCATATGCAGGTCTGCTAGCGTTGCATGCGCCCAACTGAAAGCAAAAAACTGCAAAGTACTGATATGCAACGTGTATGATCGGTGATAATAATAACCATAATGAATAGGCACGTCTTTCTCTCTGCCGAGAAGAAATGAGACTACTCTACCCTATTCTACCTTTCACCACCTCGTCAACGTTTCCCCGAGCGAGGATTTTTGAATCTGGTATGGGTAATTTCGGGGTGGCCTAGACGGACGGACCCGACTTGATGTAGGCCTTGGCGAGGGCCTCATTGCTACGGATGGTCTTCAGGATGAAGCTGATGGGCATGACATACATAGGTCAAGTCAGAGGAATCCGCGGCGCCGCCACCAGCGATGCGGAGGACGTCGGTGCTGGACCAGTCCATCTTCTCTTCACGCAGGATGGCGTGTACCTTCAGAGCCAGGTCGTCCTCCCAGACCTCATTGATTTCATGATTCCCTACGACTCTGAGCTCCTTGAGCCTGGGGTACGCCTCTGGGCCAGTCGGCGCCTCCCAAGTGGAACCGGTTCGGGCGACCAGGATCGGGCGGGAGGGTAGGCCAGGGTAGTAAAGCTTGGCCTCCTCATCAGAAATACGGGGTGGGGTTTGCATTGGGATTGAAAGCCTGAAGCAGTGGAGGATCCTGGAAAATAGGGGCAAATGAGAGGTTATATAGGGGAAGGCAACAAGATTATTTAGGGTTGCGATTCCACCTGCAGCTGGACTGGGTGTGTACTCGACTGCTATTAGCACAGGAGTCGATGTGACTTAGTTGTGCGGTTTGTCAGTTAAAATGTTGATTGCGCAGTGTCTGAGCATGTTGCGGATGTTCTTGCTCTGCCCGTGGCGTCGCGCGCTGTTGACGCTGTGACAGACAGGACACCGAAAAAGCTGCTTACAAATTTACTGCGTTCACTGCGATACGTGTTGTCTACTTGTGCTGCGCCCGCTGTACGAGGATCGCAATGCTGTCCTGCCAGTGGGGTTCGAATGCGCTCAACTGAAGGCAGAATACTGCAAAGTACTGACATGCGAAGCATATGACCGCCGAAAAAGGCAAGTCTTGCTGTGTTTGCCGAGAAGAGCTTCTGCGGAGACGTGCTGCTTATAGTCCACTCCACCGCCGTCTCGCTCTCTTCTCACTGCCTCCTCTCTTTAACTGAACCCCGCTGCGCGCTGCCCGGCGAAGCCATGTTTACGAACCTCCCGCTGTCGTTGTTGCTGGCTGTCTCCGCCGCGCTCTCCTTTGTTAACGTTGGCGCCCAGTCGACCTCGTCCGACAACTCGATATCTGAGAGCTCAACTTCAATCTCGGGCGCGACCATACCATTTTCCAGCACCAGCAGTGCGAATGGGAGCGGTAGTTTGAGCGGGTCCGCGACGAGCACAGCGTCCTTGCCGAGCTTCAGCGGGTATTCTGCCTGCGGTGAGTAGCAAACATGCTGAAGCGCGCCATGTTCTCATACGTCTCACCTCTAGTCGACGATTGCATTGACTCCGCCGTCGCGTTCACGGGGTGCTCTAGTGTCGCTGATGTCGACTGCTTCTGCGGCAGCGCCAAGTATGTGCATTTGTCGCTGTCCGCGTTTATCTCAGCCTAACGCGCTCGACAGCTCGACCTTCTTCGCGCAGAACCTGACTTCGTGCCTGGCAATGCACTGCCCAAGCAGCATCTCGCCGGCCGAGTCGCTTGCCAACCAGTTCTGCGCAGTCGCATCCCCGAGCACGTCCATCAGCTTCGCCACCACGTCCCTCTCCGCAACCACTACATCATCCAGCGCCTCGGCCTCTCACACCTCCACCTCTGCGTCTCGTACTGCATCCAGCTCGTCGTCTGCGTCCGCTACCTCAACAAACACGAGTGCTGCAGCGCGGCTGGGACTGGGAGCAGATGGCAGGATCATCATTGCCTTGGCCGTTGGGCTGGGATTGGCAGCGCTGGGCGTGCTTAGCGGACTGTGATATATCGAGCTACTGCCAGACGGATTTTGGAGCACTGGACTGAAATAGGACCACTGGTATGTCAGTGTACTGTAGTTCTGATTGTCGCTCAGCTTTCACGGTGCAGAACTCTCTTCTTGTGACACCGTCGCTGGATCTGTGCTTAACGCGTAGTACATATATGTTTATTTAATGGATCATGGAACATTCCTTCTCTCGCTACGCCGTCGCAGAAGTGCAACATACCCTTGTAGTACTATACCTGTCGATCGGGACAGTAGGCAACTCAGATCACAGTGACATTCGGTCCAACCCTGGGTCTGACGACGCGCTAGCATAAGCGTATGATAACGTTCCAAGACTATGGAGTCGTACCGTACAGCGTCTCAGTCCATGCCGCCGGCAGAAAAGGAGTGTCGAAGGAACGATACTACAGAAATCGAGCACACGGCAGATGCACTAAAAGGAAGAAAAGATAGCAGCACAAACCATCGAAGCCCTCTCACCTGGGGAGAGAAAACATCTAATACTCAACCGCATCGTCCTCGTCCACCGGGGGCGCTGCCACCACCGGTCTCTCCTTCTGCTCGCTCTTCTTCGCGGCCTCGTCGTCCACCTCCATCTTCGCGTCGTCCGCGGCCTCCTTCGGAGGATTTGCGCCGTTCTGCGCAGGGGCAGCTGTGCCCCCCGCTGACGCGTTCTTTGACTCAGACTGTGACTCCTCCGACTGCTTTTTTAGGCTGGCAGGGGCAGCTGGTGCGTCAGGCAGTTCCACGTCTTCCTGCGTCGTCTTGGGGCCCTTCGTTCGTGTGTCTTCCTCCCCGACGCGTTCTCGGAGGCGTGTGATCTCTGAAACGCCCGCCGTGCGCTCATCGACGAAGGCGGTCCATTCTACGTCAGCCGCTGCTGCCACCTACGCCACTGTCAGTTCTGGGCCATAAGACGGAACATCCATTACACGCACCTCCTCCTTTCTCCTCTTGAGGAATGCCTCTTGTGCGGGCGTGAGGATGGCGGGGAGGTAGTACAATGGTGGAGGGTGCGAGCGGAGCGGGGCCGCCAGTGCGGGCGCCTTGGAAGCCCGGGCGGTGGCGGCTGCTGGGTCCGCATCTTGTGGGGCTTCGCTGGGGGCTGGGGGAGGTGAGGAGCGGTCGGTGGGCGGGATGTTAGGGATCGTGTCAGAGGTGAGCAAGAAATTGGCGAGGAGAGGGAGACGTGTTCGGCGCAGTTTGTACTGGTGGAGGGGTCAGCATGCGTGAACGGCCTCAGGCGGCCACTGCGAACGCAACACGGCGTGTGGCAGGGGGAGAGGACATACGATAGAGTCCTTGAGTTGCAGCTCCTCTTCCTTGCGGTTCGCGGCAGTCTTGTCCTTCTTCGCCTCCTCGGCACGCCGTACGCTGTCCGTCTCTTTGCGCAGCTTGTCTTGCAGTCGCTGCTCGATCTCTTGCCGCTTTTTTACCTGGTCACAGCACGCGTATCAGCCTACGTCCCGAAAGACAACCACTAGACGGATGGATGGACGCACCGCATCGCTTTGGTTCCTCTGTCGGTCCTCGTTCTTCGCCTTCGTAAGCGTACCTAGAGCGAGCGCGAACATCGACTTGCCGCGTTTGCGCTGACCTGCATCTGGTGCCATGTCAATACGTGGCCGCTTCCGCCCCGCCCTTGTGGCCTCCTCCGCGGACGCGTCTTGGAGTTGGGTGGGATCGACCATCTGCGTGTCCGCGTCCGGCGCTGGGGGTGGTGAGCTGAGATACGGGTGTCAGTCTTCGCAGGGAGGGATTGACGGTGTGGGATGCATACGTTTCCGTCGCCATTATGACTTTGTGGTAGCGAGTCGAAAACACCGAGTGAGCAGAGGTCGCACCGTTGACCAACCGTGATGGAAAGACGCAAGATAGTAGCGTCCCGCGCGTCTGTTAGGCACGTACTAATGTAGTGTTACGAAAGTTATTGATTCGGTCAGTAAACTTCAGTAACGCTATAGTGGCACCCCTTCAATGGGTTTGTTACCGACACTATCCACGACCGTACAAACGCGTGGTCGCCCGCCACACGTTTGTCTAACCACCACCGCGATATTCGACACCAGACAATCTGACTCAACATGGCCACGAAGCCATCTAGCCGTCAGAAAGCGACCAAGACGTCCTCTGGACCATCGCGCAAGCAGCAGAGGCCCGCGCCGGTCAAGAAACAGCCCTTCTCGAATGCGGATCGCTTGAAACGACTGTTCACGTCTCTCTGCGCGCAGATAGACGGCGGGTACTTTGTGAACGCAATCAAGACCTGCGACAAGAGTCAGTACGAGTGTCGGACATATCATGTCTCCTTGGATTGCTGATATTGGGCGTAGTACTGCGAGTCGACCCGCGAGACCAGGACGCGCTGCAGACGAAGCTCTTCCTGCTCTTACAGACGGAGCAGTATGCCACGGCGCTGGCTTTGATCAGTGTTGTGAATACACAGAGTGGCCAGGGCAAGGACGACGCGTTCTCGTTTGAGAAGGCCTACACGCTTCACCGTTTGCATCGAGAGGACGAGGCGACGGACGTACTGAAATCACTCAAGGACGGAGGCGACGTGGAGGACAACAGAGGAGTTGCCCACTTAGAGGCCCAGCTAGTATGCATATTTACTTTTTGCATGCATTCACTCCTGACACGCAATCTCTCCAGGCTTATCGTGAAGGCGAGTACCAAACAGCCTACGATCTATACAACACACTCCTCGACACGGCCGAACCCGTAAGTAACCCGTGTCAAATCCTGCAAATGAGAGTCTAACGCGCATGGCGCAACCCCAGCACTCGGACGAGCAAGCCGACATCTTGACCAACCTCTCCGCCGCACAGGCACATCTCGACTTCCTCACGTCCGGCTACCTCACGTCCCTCTCCGCACTCCCCCAGTCTCTCACAGACTCCCTTGAGTCCGCTCCTCCGCCCGTGGCTGTCGCGCCCTCGATCCCGACTGCGGCGGCTCAAGGTAGGGACGCCCCGCAGCCTGAAGCCCCGCAGAAGAAGCCGCGGGCACGCAGGATACCGAAGGGTGTCGTCCCTGGGGTTACACCACCGCCCGACCCAGAGAGGTGGCTCAAGAAGAGCGAGCGCTCGAGCTTCCTGCAAGCGCATGCCAGGCGGAGAGGAAGGGGCGGAGGAGGAGCGACGCAAGGAGTAGTGGAGACACCTGGTGCAGTAGCCGCCGGCGGAGGTGGTGGTGGAAGCTCAGGCAAAGGAAAGAAGAAGGGAAAGAAGTAGAGTTGAGGCACGTATACAACGCATGCTCTGTCACTGTTCAACTTACTGATGTACAATGTGCCACGACAGGCGCACATAACGGTGAATGCAATACATTACTTGGCAGGCAATTTTCCCTGCAGGACAGCGCTCCATCGAAAGTCTCGTCAAAGCAAGGCGCTTTCCCGAGCGTGTCAACGCGTCTTTTGGTTGAGTAGAATTGGCCCAATCTTTGCCAATCTTGCGCATCGGCGATCACACCACATGTGCAATGACCATTTGCTAGCACGCAGAACCACAACAGCAGACTTACGGACGGCGATGAGTATCGATCCGTCTTGCTCTCGATTCTTAATTCGCGGGAGTCGGAAACGTGCGAGGTTCATACCGCCTCTTGAAGATCATTGGGCGGATCAACTAGCTGGGTGCTCTGGTCGTCTTCCTAGGTCATTTCCGTAATTCCCTGCAAGCTGAGTTTACCTCTCGAATCTTACGTAGGAGCAGCTGTATTTGACTGGTAAGTACCAGCTTCATTGTGCAGGTGCGGCGACCAGGTGGAGTGTACAGTTATGGTCGAACGCCCGCGTCGATCGAAGCCTCGTACTGTGCACGCCGAGTGAGGATTGAAGGTGAGCACGAGGGCTAGGTACATTATGTTCGGACTTGTCATTTGACACGCCTCGCGACTTCCACCTGCAGGCATGGCACCAGTATGTACCTTACACTGGAAGTTCTTTTCATACGTTCGGAAGCCGCGAAGGTAGGCAGGGAAATACGTGCTGTATGCAATGCACACACCCAGCACGTGCGTTCTCTTGCCTGCGCATTGTTCAAAACTATTGTTGGGCCTTTAAGCATCCACTTGAGGATGCATCCTAAGTGTGTACTATACTTGACGTGCGTCGTCAGACTGCTAACGCATAGTTCAGCCAACGCTGGCCACAACGTTGGTGGTTGTGGGCATAAAGCCGTTTACTGAGGTGGCATTACTCCTCATGTTGGCCGCGCGACAAGCGTCGGGGATCAGAGAAGTGCATTATGCCGCGACAAATGCCCCGGTCAGGTCAGAGAGAAGCAGTTCGTCACGGCCTGTGATCACCATCCTGCGATTGTCTAGACCGTCGTCACAACCTTTTGGCTACAGGGTCGAGAAACGGGCGCTCCCGGTGCGGCAAGCCACCGCTTCGCCAACGGTGCAAGGTACCCACCCGGCCCCATCTACTTAGCGGTCGGCGCCGCGGTCCCCAGTCTCGTGGCGATCCAATGGATTCATTCCACGGCTCACTTCAAGGCAGAAACTTCGATCGCATATTTCTCCACTGTGCCATGTCGTGGTGGCGACCTTGCGGGCACCGCCTGGAACGTGTCTGCCTGCTGCGGCGGGGCCCATTCACGGCGTGGACAAAGCACTTCCGGTATGATTGCATCGCGTTTCATCGAACTCAGCGCCGACGCGTAACACGCCGGCTTCTGCATTGTGTCTCGCCACTCTCGGATACGTATAAGAGCTTGGCTGCACCGACGAACGAGCCCCAGCACTCCCAGTGTCCTCAACTTGGTTCCGTACTCAACGCAGCACTAAGTGACCAGTCTCCGCGATGTCTCACCCCGAAGTCCTTGGTGTCGTTGTCCTCGCCCGCAACGGCGACCGTACGGAGGCGTACCAGCACCCCATCACTTACCAGCCGGGTCCGACGTTGAGCACGCCGCTTGGCGAGGTATGTTGTCTAGTTTGTCCTTGTGGTACATGCTTACACTTGTTTTACATAGGTTCAATCGCATCAGTTGGGCGTGACCCTGCGTAACACTTACCTCAGCGCGGAGAACCCTTCGCACATCCGGGGTATCAGGACCGACCTCATTGACCTCGCTCAGGTACATGTCCGCGTCAAGGTGGGCGCAGAGGGACCCGCGGTCTTCGACTCCGCGACGGCGCTTCTTCAAGGTTTGTTCCCGCCTAACCCTGCGAACCGGGAGCTGCTCGCGAATGAGACGGAGGTGATCGCTCCTCTCGGCGGCTACCAATACGTTCCAGGTCGGTAGCTTTGTGACGTCTTATTGCTTGTCCTCGTCCTCGACTCACTAGGTGGATAGTTGAGACCGTGGAGCCTAGCAACGATCGCTCTCTGGAAAGCTGGACTGACTGCCCGGTACGCTGTTTCGCGTCATACACTGTATACTCCTGTTGATGCTGATTTTCAACGCAGGCTTTCGAGGAGCATGTCAAGAACGTGCAGGCCTCCTCTGAGTTCAAGGAAGTTGGCAAGAGCGCGTCTCGGTTCTTCAGCGACATCCGTGATTTCATCTTCGGCAGGCCGGCCAGTATGGAAAATGCGGTACGTACATTGCATCGTATCGCGAGCGTTGCATACTGATTCTTCGTCGCCATACTCGACAGTACAACGTGGGTTTTTGGACTTGGTATGATCTATCTGGCGTTGACTATGGTGATCACTAGATGTGGGACTACGTCTCCACCGAGCTTGTCCACAACCGGACGTACGCGCACCGGCTGCCTCCTACCTACGTTGAGCAAGCCCGTGCCTTGGCCGACTACCGCGAGAACCTGGTCTTCTCCGACCCCGACATGGCTGGCATTGGAAACAGTCAGTGTTCGTATCGTTGAATGAATGTCGAGCCTCTAACACTAGCTTACAGTTGCTGGTCGTACTGCCATGAGCAGCATGGTTGATGCTCTTCAGCGGATCGCATTCAACGGAGATCCGCTGCAGTTCATGCTCATCGCGACTACTTACCAGCCGTTCATTTCGATCTTCCACATGACAGACGTCGTGCAGTCTCACCCTGAGTTGGCCGCTATCCGTGAGTGTTTGAGTTCGTCCTACGCATTCGCTGCTGTTGAACATGTCGCCATTCACAGCGGACTTTGCGTCTGCTATGGCGATTGAGCTGCGCCGTGCCCGTGCGCCGGATGTACGCGACTTCCTCCGCTTCAAGTTCAAGAACGGCACCTCCGAGAACTTCGAGACCATCCATGTCTTTGGTCACCAGGAGGACATTCCTCTTACTGAGTTCATCTACCGCCTCGAGGTGTGTACGTCCGCATTTGCAGTGTAGCCAGTGGATCTCACACTACTTCAGAACTCGTTGGTCAGCAGCAACCGCGAGTGGGCCAGGGCATGCAGCACTGGTTCGACGTGGGCTACTCTGCCTGGTGTTGATGCCCAGAGCAACCCTGTCTACAGTGCGTGCTGGGGCATCATCATGGCGTTCATCATGATGCTGGGCTTCTGGTTGGTATCCAAGGGCGTCAAGAACATGAGGCGTCGCGAGTATGTCCGCCTGCAGGGCGAGGAGGTGAGCCCCGCATTGTGCTCGTATACAATACGTGTAGCTGAAACCCCGTGATCAGGAACTTCGTGGTGTGCAAGTGAACGAGAAGAGCCAGATGATGCACAATGCTTGAACAGCGTTCGGATGATCTCCTCCTGCAACGTCAAGGACTCGAAAGGACGGTTCGCTTACTGGTACTGAACATCGGCTCTATGTATGAGGCACTACACATGGTCCCACGGCTCATTATGATCGACTCGACGCTTTTCTCATCATATATACACGTCCGCACAGTGCTTTTGTCTGATGCATCTCGTTATCTCTATGCCAATGCATCCGCTTTCGATGATCGCCAGCACCTTCGATCAAGATGGTGCGTTCCATTTGACCGCCGTCAACTGTAGTGTGATTTTGTTCCAGTCGTGCGGCTTCGGGTGCGACTGTTCCTTGCACAAGTCGGGATCTCGTCAGTGCAGTATTGACGCAGTTGTGAAGTTACTGAAAAGGTTCCGATTTCAATTCGCATTCCGCCGATAGCAATGCTGCCAAAACTCAACGTAGTTTCAATGATGGATCGAGGACGATTCAGCCGTAAACTCTTTCAATTTCAAGCTTCAGGCCTTCAGGGAGTACTCCAAATACAAGATACTATGAAACTCCTGTTGTACTAACAGCTGAGATATTTACACTTTCGTTGGTATGGTGTCATTCCGTGCAACCGTCGTCTGCCATTTGGTGAAGGTCAATACTATATGACACACATAGCAGTACCTAACCGTTCGAACGGAACACGAGTGCCCATCCTCATCCGACTCCGGTGCTCCTGCAAGTCAACCAATTTACGACAGATCGGGAGTGGTCCAGTTGATCCAGTAGCTCGGGTTAAACACCGTACCGTTGAAGGCGTAGTTTGTGGAGAAGTAGTCGGTGTTAGTGTCTGGTTTATCGAGCAAGAATTTGTCGAAGAAAGCATAAAGCGAGTCTTCGAGCGACGTCGGGAAGTAGCAGTGGCTGTGGTTGCCGACCTGGACGAAGCCGTGGTAGTCCGAGATGCCAAGGGCCTCATACACGCTGTGAGCAGCGGACATACATCCCCATGCGCTCAGCGGACTAAGCCACTCGATCTCCGTGTTCTCATACGAGAGGAGACCGCGCGGCGCGACCATCGCAGCGAGTTCGTGGTGGTCGTACGGCAGCTCGCTGATGTTATAGACGTAGTTGTTGAAGTTGGCTGAGAACCAGGGGTCCTCGGTCACGATCTCCGTCGCCTGCTGCACGGCGTCGCCGCTGTCCTGCTCGTACTTAGACAAACGCCAGCATGTATCTCCACCGGAGCCCGACTCCTGCGGGATCGTGAGCACGACACGCGTCTCGTATGCTCCCGCCATGAGTGCGCCCTTCCCATCTCGAGAGCAACCCGTGACGGCGATCTTCGCCGTGTTGATGTTGGCTGCCGGGGTTTGCTCGAGGGCGGCAATAATGCGGCTGACGCCCCAGACCCAGGCAGTCATAGCGGACGCGGTCGCGTTGGAGCCGTAGAGATCGTAGAACAGGCCAACCCCGCGGCTAGCAATCGAGTTTTACTGCGCGATGCCGTCATTGTTGTACACTAGTGTAGCAATCTGTGACACACTTTCTCAATCACTGGAGAACGCTTGTCCAGGAATTGTCACTCACACCGTCGGGAACAGGGATGCTCAGAGCATCGTACGCAATGACCAAGGGCCACTCAGATGCGGGCGCCGTACCCGATGGGTATGTGATGTTGTTCGAGAACTGTATGGTCTGCGAGGCACTGAGCCCGGCGGCAAGGTACCTGTGCTCCCGGACTCGGAAAAAGTAGTAGTGACTACTGGAGGGGCGGGTGGCAGATACCCTGCCTCATAACCTTGTACCAAGGCAGCGATCTGACTGCGGCGGCATGCCCAGTCATCAGCAGTCGTCACAGGCGTACCATCATCGAACTGAAACGGGTTCGGCAGGATGGTATTGTTGTACCCAGGGAGTGTCGACGATGTCGCGCATGCTGTGCAGAAGAGACATCAGCGATCAGCAGAACAACTGTGGTGATGAAAACTACGAACCGGCCTGCCGCGGTGCCAGCTGTGGGGATGGCAACGCAAGTGCGGAGAGCACAAAGAGGGAGAGTGCGATGAATCGAGAAGCCATGTTGTGGAGTCGACTGTCTTGCCTCTTACCCTCGCTGACTTTTCCTGCTGCGATCTTCTCTTATATGCTCGCGGTGCCGCTGGTGCCGTCCAAGGACGAGTCCGAAGAAGGTTCTGAAGAACCCGAACACGATGTTTCAATGTTTTTCTGACGCCGAAGAAAGTACAGGTTATACAAACCTCACGGGAAGGGTCACAAGCTTGAACAGTGATGCCCGCGGTTCTGCCGTTAGATCGTCCAGTCCAGGATCAGTCGAGCAGCTACTCCGGGCCCTCTGAAGGGTAATGACGTCGGCCTTGATACTCTGGCGTCCAGAAGAAGTACTGTCGGCTGGACTCTTCCAATACTTCAATCGCTGTTTGTTTGGGAAGCATGTGTCAGCGTTACAAGTGTCAAGTGTGCATGCAAGTTAAGAGGTGGGTAATGTCGCGCAGTCATGTAGATGACAATGCCGTAGCATCGAGATTGCTATTTTTCACCTCATGCTAAGCCCATGCTGTCAACCTCAAACATAGCGAGGTTGACCTGCTGATGCAAACTTCCAAGTAGAGACCAGACGCCATCGGCCTCATGTGGATCAAGACTTTGAACGAGTCACCACCACAACCTAAGTTATACGATGTGTATCAGTGTCGGACGTATGCGCGTCGAAAGCTCGGACCAACCTCGGACTCGCAACAAGTTGTCCTGCAGGCCAACTGTAGGCACTGTTACGCGTGTAACTCATGAAGTTCTACGGGGGCTACGAAAAGTCTGGTGACAGTTCGATGCACAATACATCCGGCAATGTCCTTCAAGCTTGGAGCTTGAGATCTTGAGAGACCAAGCGTCCGCGTTGGTCCAGAGCCGCCTATTATCGTGAGAGGACCACACCATATCCATTGAATCTGACTGCAGCCTCACCAGCGGGAGGTAGGAAATGCAATAGATAATATGAGTGTAGAATGCGCGCTCATCCGCAGTATATAACGACTTACCATGGATGAGAAGTCAAGACGTCGACATACTCAGTCCGTTCGCATACCATTGAACCGAGCCAAATAGGAGAAAGTCGTCATAGCGCTGCCGCTGCCCGACAACTTGAAGTGATGACAGAGTATACGTTCTGAGCCAGGTGAAGCTTGACTATGACTCTACAACCCTCTCGGAATGAGTGAATCATGCACGCCGACCTTCCACAGGTACAGACCGCAATAACCCCAGCTATCTGCGATCAATTCTGATTGCAGGCTACGACATACCAGCATTGGCCACGATGTTACTGGGTACTATCGGGGCCGCTCTGCCAGCAGGAGAAGTGCATGGACAAGTGCGACATGACCATGCGTTGAGGGCTTCGCCTTTGGAGATCCGGAATCCTATGGCCTGACGGCAGCACCTTGCTACAGAGTCTGAGCCAGAGCTGGTGAACGAAGGTTCGGGATTGCGCTCTCGGAGCAAGTTCAGAGAACTAATTCAGTGAAAGTTGAGTACGTTCAACAAACGGCGGTACCGGTCAAGTTGATTTGGACACATCACTGATTACGTAAGTGTCATCTACTTGTAAACAACTTACCGCCAGTTGTCCCTTGAATGATCGTCACTGCGTACAAACGTTCAAGCTCAAGGTCGCAAAGCACAAGCTTAGGTACTCAATCGTACACGATGGCGTCCATTTCATATACAAAGCTGATACAGAACATATCTATCGCGGCACAGATCTAGGAGGAACTTCGAAAGGCCATATAGTACGACTCAACGGTAAGAAAATGTACAGCATCGCCACGCCACGTCCGTTCAGGCTTCTACAACCAGATGTCCATGAGCTCTTTCTTCGCCGTATCCAAGCGCTCCCATCTCTTCTGCAGCTCCTGACGACGAGTGACAACGTTCGGAGGCTCCTGCAAGAACTCTTTGCAGCGCCGCGGACCATCCGGCCCAGTGATGCCCAGGCCCTTGAGCAGGACACTTTCCAGTGCACCGTCCATGTCAAGTCCAAGGATGAGCTCGCGATCGACAGCCATAGGGACGTAGTCCACGTATCGCTTGTAAGCCACTGTAGTGCACTGTTAGTCAGCAACGAGAGTGGGCATTTGCGATCAACGCACCTTGGAAGTACGCTCGGACGCACGCCATGATGTTCAACGCGGGCTCGTATGGGTCTGAGGGAAGCAGCTTGGGAAGATCCGTCGCTTTCACCCCAGAGATCCCGATCGCGCTCAGGCCGGACAGCACTTGCGCTGTATTCTTCTGGAATTCCGTTTGACGATTTGCAGAGTTGGTGCCAGGATACTCCCCTAGCTTCGTCAGTAGGCTTCCAGAGCCGCTACTGGATCGGTGTGCGCGATAGTGCGACACAAACTTGTCTCTGTAGTCAGAATAGTAGTGACCATTAAGCGTGCATGGCTGCTGCTCCAACTCAAGCAGCCAAAGGACTTTCTTGATCGTCTCTGCGCAGCGTTCCTTGATATGTTCGTTGACGACGGCTCTGGAAGATCCATGCTTTCAGCATTTGGCAGCAAAGAAAGAATGCTCGTCATACATGACATGCTGGTGTAGCCCACCCTGCGTGAACTTTGAGAAGTGCTGATTGATGATTTGCTTGACGTAGGTCGTCAAGATATTCTGCACTGAGTCGAAGAGGTTCTTCGTCGGGATGTCCCACTTCAACGTAACTGCGTTGATATATTGCTGTATAACGACGAACGGATAGTAGTCGGGCAACTCGCGCGTCGTAGCCCTGCAGCCATTTTAGTATTGAGTAATAAACCACAGATGGACAACGTACTCTCGCGCTCGGGCCATCACCTCATCCACATACACGGCACGGTCGTCGTTCTTCACTTTCCACGCGTCGGGCTCCTCAGCGCGCAAGAATTCGGGCTGTTGGAATCGGGCTTCAGACGGCTCTTCGTCACTATCATAGACGATATCGTCACTCCTCGAGGCAGCTGACGCCCTCGCAGGGCGCGGGGAAGGTCGGAAATCGGGAGCTGTTTCTCTGATCGCCTTCTTGAACCGTTCCTGTATGGGCCTCAGGGTCTGCAATAACCCATGCCCTTCGGGTGTTCCCTCCAAATGCTTGGACATATCTCGAGCAAAGTCCGAAAGGATATGGAGAATTTCGGCGAAGGCATCGTTCGACGGCGGCTTCGGAAGCTGGCGCAGGGCTTCCTCGGTCTTGTGGAGGAGACTCTGCAGCTCATCTTGCAGCTCTGGCAGCCTTCAAGCGGGTACGCAGTAGTGAGCATACTGCTTTGTGCCTAGGTAGAAGCAGGGGGTACATACCGTTTGGCGATCAGCTCAGACAGGATCTGGCTGAGTCGTTCCGTGAGGTTGGTCGTGCCGAGGTAGCGCTGGAATTCGGGCTCGAGCTCGGACCAGACGGATGCGGACGCGAAGTACTCGCGCTCCATCTGGCGTGCGTCTTCCCAGGTGATGCCCGAGGCGAGAGCCTTCGAGTCAGGCTGCTTCACGCTGAACCAGCCGTTCTCGAGCGGCTCGCACTCATTCTTGATGAAGCGAGTCCAGCGGGCTTCCTCACCCGGGGGATACGGTCTGGCTTGGTCAACACACCTAGGACGCATGTTCAAACTCTCATACGACGTCATGAAAGGAAAGCTACACACCTATCGTACGCTTTCCTTCGGGGTCGTGCTGCTTAGCAATGTGGTGGGCGCCTTGGTTCTCGAAGTCGGCTGGCAGATGTTCGGTACACCCATCAATAACAGTTGCTGCACGAGAGATGCAGGGCATGACGTACTTTCGCAAGCTACCGTGAGGAGGATGATACAACTGGGCTTCGAGATATAGGATGTTACAAGGCTAGTGATGAGCCCGATGTCTGACTCCTTCCCGCCCTTGCCCACGCTACTGATCAGACCTGTCCCATGTCTTCAGTAAACTGTGCTCCTATACAGCATCGCGGCAAACATACCGGGAAGATCGCAGAAGGACAGATCGGCAACATCGCTACCACGGATCTGCAGGCAGACACAATTGGTCGTGAAGGACAGCTCGGGGTGTGCTGGGTCCGCGTCAGCTCCCTGCAGAAATTGAATGGGCCTGGTGCTTGGGTTCAAGGCGGCACGCTGCGCCCGCCTGATTCTCTCTTCGACTTTGGCCTTCTCGAAGATTACTTCGCCGAAAGACTCGTTACGAGCGTGGCCGAGTGCCTGGCCGCGTTCGTCAGTGATGAATCTAAGGGAGACTATACACTGCCACGGCTGTGTCGACCATGTCAATCGACACTCCGTTGGGCACCTAGAGCACTGTTCTCAGCGGAGGAGACAACACCAGAGACTGAGCTTACCTTGTGCAAGTGCCACTGGCTCTTGGCAGTGTGATGCCGGAAATGGATTCTATGAGTGAAGACTTTCCGGCGCTCTGGTTACCGATAACAGCGATGACCGGTAAGTCTACGTCTCGCTGGACCCTGTCATCGATGCATCGTGAGAGTTATCCGAGAAATACAAGATGAGTGCGTACCCCGTGTTATGCAGTCTGTTAATGAGATCGAGCAGCTTTCGTCGCGCTGTCGAGAATCGCGGGTCTGACAGGCCGATTGCGCCAGCTATGGACTTGAGCCCAGAGCTGTCGATGGTCTCGTCAGACCCGGTCGAGGGCGACGTGGCTGTAGCTGAAGTTGTGGGAAGCATTGTAAGTCGCTGTCCAGTTTGATGAGAGGAAAGCGTGTGGAACGACAAGCAAGAAGGAGGCTTTTAACCAGGGGCACTTGTTGTTCTCCTGTGCAACGAGGCAACCTTGTTTTCTTAATCACACACGCATTGTGCGTGCACATCGCGCGGCGAAGGCCATTATGTCAGTCGCACAAGCCACAAGAAATGATGAGAAGATAGAACAAGGAGCCAAGGAACTATGCAGTACGTTATGCGGTCTTCGCGTTGACTGGAAAAGGTTCACATATCTCCTTTACTGTATCAGCTGTTGAAATGGAACGACCATATCGCACGCAATTCGTGACGACCATGGCGCTGCATTTCCGCCGCAAACTGATCATCAGCCTGAGTGAGAGAAAATGAGGTAAACAGAGCTTGAACAGAGCTTGTTATCTTGGAGAAAGTTTGCATGCACCGCAGGCGGCGACATGATGGAAGCTTCAGAAGCCGCACACAGCGCTGAGAGATGGTGGGATCCGCAATAGAACGGAGGAGGTACTAACCCTCGTGTTGCGTAGTTCGTCCCCTTCGTGTTTTCTCTGGATATAGCCCCAAAAGATCGACATACCGAGTAGCAGGGAGTGACATTCTTGTCACACCGACACTGTGCGCATGTTCTACTTGCTGCAACTTGGTGTAGCCTCGATGCGGTTCCCATCGCCAGCTGCTCTAAGTATTGAATGCGTAGCACGCATATGTGAGCTTGGGCCAGCGATCCGACATGCAGCACAGCGCTGTCTAAACCGTAGTGCATGATAGGAGGGAATAAAACAAGTGCTCGTGGACAAGAACGAGATGAAATCGACGGACTACAATCTGGGCTTCAGAGTTCGTGACCACGTGATCGTGCGCCGAGCAAGGTTCAATCGGTCGCGGCGCGTCGATGGCTGTCACTGCCTGTGCTGCCTTTCCTCTGCCTGTAGCAACGCGACCGGCATCCCTCCCTATGCCCTGAGTAGCTGCTTCATATTCATACGCACGAACCTCACTAGAACGACAAGCGCAGCAAGAACAGAGAAGGTACGGTAACTGAGCCGACGTTGCACCTGTTGCTCCCAATACTTACCGAGAGGGAAACAGCCATCCTAGGGCCTCTACGACAACACGTACATTCACTTCATCAACACCATCTTTTCTCCGACCTTCGCTAACCACTGCTGTAAGCATTTCAACTACTGCTCCCTGGGAGAGGCAGCATGCGCATTGAGCTGAGTCCGACCCAGATGACTTCCGACAGTGCTATTGCTGCAGGCGTCTCCGTCTCTCTCGTGGTCATCCTTGGGATCGTTGGCTTTCTCTTCTGGTATCTCCGCAGACGCCACGTTCATGTCGCAGCGAGCCAACCGGCCAAACCAACTAAGCGGAGCACACTGCTCGACCCCAGTCATCCCGCATGCCATGTAACTCCATTCGGGTCACCAGGAGGAGAGACGGTCCGTTTCAGTGCGTGTTTCTAGCATCTGCAAAGAGCGTCATGTAACCGCCTGCTCATCACGACCCGCAGTGCACGAGCCTGGCGCGAACATGCGTATCGCGCACCAGCGCGAAGACGGCGGTTGGGAGTTCACAGACATGTCTCCGAACGACCTCTCCACATTCGACCTGACAGGCTACGTGCAGCCGCGGAACTCTCTGTCTGGCCGCTCGACTCTGAGCTTTGCGTCGACGATGCACATGGGCTCGGACAAGAAAGGGAAGCTCCTCCCGGGCGAGCTCACGACGCGCGGGTACATGGAGCGCGACCGCGACATGGACGTCGACATCGAGGGCAACCCCCCACCTGCATATTCACATGCACACCGCGATTCCATCGTTGTGCCGTGATTCCGTGACCATCTCCCGTTCACCGACTAACTGTTCATCATCTGGCGGTGAAAGATTTGTTGATCGCTGCGCGCTCAGTTACTTGCTACCTTTGTTCTATGCTTTCCATTGCTCTTCCCTTGCTGCTTCCTTTGGAATGTTTTGCGGGTTGTATCACCTATGCGATCATGTATTGCTTTCTGCTGTGGCTCTTTTGCCCGGCCTTGTGCGCGTCCGCCCTAGAAGACTCTCCCTGCGCGCTTCCACCCTGGATCAGTCAACGATGGGCAGTCTTGGGACAGGCTTCCGCAGCTTCTCTGTCCAGGCCGGGGCAGTTGCTGATGATTCCGGTGCACAGCAGGTCTGAGGGTTCGATAAAACTCTGTACGTGCTCTTCTTTCTGCTATCTCTGGTGCAGCAGACAGATGTGCTGAGACCCTTCGCAAGTTCCGATCAAAAGTACTCGTGGATAGCGCATGTCGGTCAGTGCGCGCTGTACGCTCGTCGATGATCAGCGCTTCAGCTCTCACGCGACTGTCTGATAGATTGGGATGCGTTGCACTGCAGTTCTTCAAGATGCAGACCCGAGGAAAGCATGCATCATCTAATGCAGTGACAAAGTTCACGGCCGTACCACTGCCATACCGCTCCGAATCTACGGTTCAACTGTAGTTTCCGATGTGCAACATACCTATATGGCATGGAGTGGGCTCCATTGCACCGCGATCTTTGTGCTGCGTCTTAGCACGCCGGTATGGTCCCTCGTAGGTGATTGCGGTTCAGATGCAATCCTGCTCATTTGGTCCACTCGCCGAGCCCAGATGACGATGTCGACCGTCGTCTTCGTTCCCAGAGTATAATATCCGTCTTTGACTTGAGGGTCCGGCCGGTGACAGTTGCCTCGAGGGTGGTTTGTATGAGCTAGGATGCTGTGAAACGCATGTTGCTTGTTATTGTGTTCTGTCGGCTTCCTGCGTGGATAGAGGCCAGTCCTAGTATCGTTGTGTTCTAATGCAGCTGCTGTGGCGCACCGGTTGCGCGACGCTGTCCAACGTAAGCGTATTCCAGCCAATTAGATTGCTTGAACGCGTAGCTGACCTGTCGAGTCTCAGCGTCGAAGCCGCGGCCTTCCTACCACTACATGTTCAATGTCAACACTGCATACTGCTCGAGTGAAGCATGGGCCCTGCTTGCTTTCCGTAAAGTTATAAGACAGAGTTACGCAGCTTGAACGCAGCGATGTGGTTTGATGCAGCACTACTCCAAGCGAACGAAGGGTCGCTCAAGAAGTACATACGCTGCACTGGCCTTGGTTCAACACAGCGGTTCTTCGCCCTCTGCCCACACGTCGTGGAGCGCTTCGCGCATTCGTTGAATGTACATCGGAGAAGCGTTCTCGACTCGATTATCCACCGCCTTGCGGCTGCTGTCCTCTACAGCTCTTAAAGCCCTCGGAGCCTCTCGACGTGCAGTCCCAAGCCTCATACGCCACCATTCTGCGGAGTCCTTGAACGACACCATGCTCGACAACACTCGCGACTATGCCAAGGCCGCCGATCTTGGCGAGGCCAGTGCTTACTCTGCCACTCGACGTAACCTGCTGGATATTGCCAATAGCCTGCACGGGACGGGGTGAGTTTCGGCTGTTGCATCCCCTTTGTGAATGTTCGTCGCTCATGACACGATGCGTAGCGTCTCCATGGACATTGAGATACCCAGGATCATCGTGATCGGCTCGCAAAGCACAGGGAAGTCGTCCCTGCTCGAAAGCGTCTGTAAGATCTCCCTTCCGAGGGCAAGCGGAACTTGCACGAGGTTTGTGTGTCCCACCGAGTCTGTCGCACTATCTGACCAGCAACGACACAGGTGCCCGACGGAGTGCCGTCTCTCGCGGTCATCCGAGCCTTGGAGGTGCATTGTCAGTCTGCGCCTGTTGACGGACCGACACGGGAATGCCGACCCTCGCAACATCCCCTTCGGAAACCCGATCACCGACCCAGCGGAGGTCGCCGAGAGGATCAAACGCGCGCAGCGTGCGATCCTGAACCCGAGCACACAGAGTAGCTTCTTCCTCGGTGGAGGCGAAGACACCGCGCCCGAAACCACATTTTCGCGGAACTGCGTGTCCTTGGAGATCAGCGGCCCGGACGTCGTTGACATATCCTTCGTTGACCTGCCTGGTAAGTAAAAGCGCATCGGCATTTTACTTGATAGTACTATTGGTTCTCATGAACCGTTTGACAGGTTTAATCGCTAGCGCAGGCAGTAGCAGTACGCTTGCCGACATAGACCTAGTCAAGTGTCTTATCACCGAGTATGCCGAGAGGGAAGATTGCATCATGTTGGTGACTGTGTCATGCGAGAGTAAGTAGACTCAGATAATGATGTACAGCGTTGTTGCTCAATGATCACAACAGCGGAATTCGAGAACCAAGGTGCCTATCAGCTGGCACGCAGCTTTGATCGTGCTGGCGAGCGTACAATCGGTATGATCGTCATTCAACCCTCACGATCATATTCATTGTCTGACTCTGTGCCAGGCGTCCTCACTAAGCCTGACCGTGTTGCGAGGGGCGACGAGGACTGGTGGGTCGGGTTATTGAAGAATGAGCACCCGAGCCTGTCTCTGGCCAATGGATGGTTCAGCGTGAAGCAACCGGACAACGTCGAGCTGAAGAAAGGCATTACGCATAAGCAGGCAGCACAACAAGAGAAGCAGTTCTTCGCGACCACGAAGCCTTGGGACACGCTGCCGCCTCGGTTCAAGCAATGTTTGGGAACGTCCAACTTGATGGAACAGTGCAGCAATATCTTGTCTCGTCTCATCGCAAAAAGGTACGATTATACTCCTGTCGGCACTGCGACTGACATCGGGCAAACACCGTAACCCAAGGCTCCCCGAAATACAAATGACGATTCAAGAGAAGCTTAGGACGGCCGAAACCCAGATCGATGAACTGCCACTCGAGCCGACAGATCCCGTCGGTGAAGTGTTCCGCCTGGTCAGCGAACTCTGCAGCACTTTGACTCAGTACGTCGAAGGCACGCCTAGCCCGGACGGATTGCAGCAGACCATCCGGCCTGAGAAGGAGAAATTCCTGCGCACAATACGGGAAACAGCACCGGATTTCAGGCCTTACGAGAAATCAGATGGCGTGTCATTCTTCTCCACGCTTACTCCGCCTCAGTTCCTGGAGAACGAGGAGGAACCAAGTCTCCCAGAAGATGATAACAACGCCATCTATATCGACCAAGTCAAAGAAGCCGCTCTCTCGTAAGTGATGTTGTCTCGGCGTGACCGATCCTTTTGACTGAAGCGTTGACCAGGGCTGTCACACGTGAACTGCCTGACAATATTCCTTTCATCGCGACCGAGTTGTTCATCCGAGCTGCGGTTGCTCGCTGGAAAGCGCCTGCGATGCAGCTCTTTGATCACATCGAGGGCATCCTCAGAGACAGGATCACAGAAGCTGTACACGCTCAATGTGAGATGTATCCTCAACTGGATTTCCAGATATCGTAAGCTTTGCGTGTCTGTGCGCCCAAGTATTGTCGCTTATATTACCTGCCCAGGACTGTGGTCGATGACTACATGAATCGTCGCTCTGAGAGGACCAAAGAGCGCATCAGGTGGCTGCTCGACCTCGAAGAGCGTCCCCGCATCCTGAATGACTACCACTACCGCGACTATCGCAGCAAGTTCCTGACGTGGTACAAAAGTCACCGTTCGCAGTTTCATAACATTCCTCTCCTTCAGAAGTTACAGGGGCACGAGAGAAATCCATCAGACTTGAGCGGGAAAATCAAGGCGATCGTGGACGCATTCGGCGCATTAGACGGTGGTCCCCTGGATATCATGCCTGTCAACCTCGTCAAGGTGCTTCGTACGGACCCTTACGAGATTGCACTCGATATCATGGCAAGTGTCCGTGCATACTTTCAAAGTAAGTGCCCATCTGGATTGTACAGCTTGTGGGAAGAGTTGCTCATGTGAACATCGTTGGAAATCCCAGTTGCTTACAAGCGTTTCGCCGACAACGTCCCGAACGTCATCGACCATGAGCTGGTGTTGGGACTGAACCGCGGGCACGCACTCGAGACAGTCCTCAGGATAGAGCTCGGCCTCAGCGGGCCAGACGTCGAAAACGTGTGCGCTGCTTATCTGCGGGAGGATGGAGAAACTGCGGCACACCGCTCAGAGTTGAAGAGCAGACTTGGTCGACTCAAGAAGGCGAAGAGCGAGCTGGCGCGATTGCGCAAGTGAAGGCTGCAGAGGCGGTTACCTAGGATTTGAGCTTGACTATGACGATTGGCCACATCGACATGTACACAGCAGGTCTGTGCATAATTCTAATTAGGTTTCGCAGGCTGAGTGATGAGCCTTTCCGGAGGTGCAGTGTGCTAGGTAATCAGTGGCTCTATTGTCGGCTGGACACTTACACTGCCGTTGCCCGGCATGAATGGTTGTAATGAGCGTCGACCGCACCTCCGAGGCATCATATGCTTATATGACCTGGCTTAGATATTGCAGCAGTACTCGGAGGAGGGAGTGTCCGAGCCGTCATGACCAGCTTACTAGTTGTCTGTACCGCTGTACTCATCATTGTCAGAGGTAAAGATCTCCACCTGCGCGTCCTGCAATCAGCTGATTATGATTTCGACCTTGCAGACCTCACGCGTGTAACGTCTCGCGTAGTAGCGCGTCCGAGTGCTACTGCTAGAGCCAGAGTCAACGGACGTGACGAGCCCTACGTGGTCTGAGGCATCTCACAAGGAGTCGATGAGTAGCGCAAACATAGACGAGATGCATCTGAGGACGTGACTTGCCCATTCGAAGCTCATGCATGGGAATGCCGGCTAGTGAGTGATCTTGTGCTGATGCAAGCCCGAAGATCATCACGACGTGTCTATTATGTACTATCTGACGGGAAGATGCATACTTCGTAGATGACCAGATACCAAGGATAGCAATCTCATCCTTAGTATGGATAGACACGGGCTCCGAGCAAGTGCACCCGGAACGAACGGGATATTTGTGGCCTCTGTGTTCACACACTGACCGCCCAGTGAGTTCGTGAACCTCCTATCGAACGTCTTGTAAGCTCATGAATGTGTGCCTGAATCGTAAGGTCTCTGCTCGCAAGTCTCGATGACCTTTTGCACCGGAAGTGGCATTCCTCATCACCTCATACCTGTGAAGGTCATTGATCGGTGCTCATCACTCCATGGAGACATAATGTCAAGGTCCAACGTACAATCCCTCGAGGAGAGTCCATACGACGCGTCGGCGATAGCACGAACTGCACGCTCGCAATTCCCGTATCCCACCACCGTATGGCAAGCCTCGGAGACTCACAGGCCGAATATCAGAACCAAGGATAGCCTCGCTGCACAGTCAGCCCACGACCCATCCGCCCCTTCATAATCACGACTGCTGGACTCGATGCATGCGAGGCTACCGACTTGGTGACCCATTCTCATCGAGGATGTCGCTCGCAGCTCGCTTAACCGCCTCCCTTGCCCTCCTCGCCCTCCTGCTTACCGTTGCCAGCGCGCCTTCCGCAAACTCGCGCACGGTTGTGCACGAATCGCGAAGCCACGTCCCACGAGGATGGAACGCCGTCCGACGTGCAGACCCCGGTCTCGTCCTCCCCTTCCGGATTGGGCTTGCTCAGCCGAACATCGAGAACATCGAGGCATTCCTTCTCGACGTCTCCCACCCGTCGTCACCCAACTACGGCAAGCACTGGACCCCAGGCCGTGTCGCGGAAACGTTCCGCCCCTCACGCGAGTCCGTCGACACCGTCAACGCGTGGCTCGTTGATGCTGGCGGGCTTGACCCCGCCCGCGTGAGCCTCAGTGCCGGCGGCGCATGGCTTCAGGCGAATTTGACTGTCGAAGAGGCCGAACGCTTGCTCGAGACCGAGTACCATGTGTACCAGTTCGAGGACGACGAAGCGCGCACGCACGTCGCATGTCATGAGAAGTACCACATTCCGGAGGATATCGCGAGGCACGTCGAGATTGTGACGCCGACGTTGCACTTCGACGTCAAACCGAAGAGTAAGCCGATCCAGCTGAACAAGCGGGACGCACCGTCGGGCGAGGGCGTGAATGCGCATGCGGTAGGCCAGCCTGGGTTTGGTGTATCCTTCCCCAAGACTTCTGGCACTATTCAGGCACGTCGACATTGATAGAATTGCTACCACTGAATGAAGTTGACGAAAAGGATAATAGGCTATTTCAGACCCGGACCTTGCTTATTGCGACGAGCAGATCGTCCCCGATTGTTTGCGGGTCCTGTACAGCTTCGACTACACTCCTGTCGCCCCTGAGCGCAACTCGATTGCAATTGGTAAAATCTACATCCTTGATCTTTCAAACGATCTTAACCTTATGTGACCAGTTGAATACACCCCTCAAGCTTATGTCGCGACCGATCTTGACATGTTCTTTGCCAACTATTCGCCGACCCAAGTCGGCGAGCGGCCTGTTCTCAACAGCATCGACGGTGGTACGTACTACGCGACGCGCGACATGTGCTAACAGCTGATGCCGATGCTGCGAAGGTTTTGTGCAGACCAATCAAACTGGCTTTGACTACAACGGCGAATCTAATCTGGACTTGCAGTATGCAATGTCACTTGTGGGTCGTACCCAGCCTGTCCAGCTCTACCAAGCAGGAGACGATGTCGAAGGTCTGTGGCTAGATTGACCGAGTTCTGTTGCTGAGTCGTACTATTCCACGCAGGCGCATCATTCGGAAACCTGCTCGATGCCCTCGACGCATCGTACTGCTACTTCGAAGGTGGCGACAACCCCGAATACGATTCGATCTATCCGGACCCATATGGCGGTTATGAAGGCCAGTACGCTTTGTTCGGCAGCTATGAAAGAGTCTGAGTCCGCGCACAGGTCCTGAGGCATGCGGGACTGTCACTCCAGCATATGTCATGTCGACCTCGTATTCGTACAACGAGGCCGATTTGACTCCCGCCTACGAAGAGAGGCAGTGCGCTGAGTATGCCAAGGTCAGTTCTTCGCCGTCGCCACCAAATTACGTGACTCACGTTCGTGGAAAGCTTGGCCTTATGGGTATGACCGTTCTGTACTCCTCGGGCGACTACGGCGTTGCAGGAAATGACGGTGTATGTTTGTACCCCAACGGAACACAAGCCTCAGGCGCACCAGACTTCAACCCGACTTTCCCTGGAACATGCCCGTACATCACCAGTGTCGGGGCGACCCAGGTGAATCCGAACTCGACGGTGAGTCACTCTAACTTCTCAGCACAATCGCGGTCTGCTTAATCCCTGTCAGGTCTACGAGCCCGAGAGCGCTTGCGAGCAAGTCATCTACTCTGGCGGTGGCTTCTCGAATGTCTTCGCGATGCCGTCGTACCAGAAGACCGCTGTAGAATCATACCTCACGAACTACCCGCCTCCGTATGCACCGGCCCTCTACAATAGTTCTGGAACGAGCCGTGGGTTCCCTGACATCGCTGCGAATGGGTGAGTGAAATCATCCATTGGACTGTGCATGTGACCAAGAGTATGGTGTATGCGATTCTCGTGTTGATCCATATGCTTCGGTTTGCAGAGCGAACTACGTCGTCGCCATCAACGGTGAATTCTACCTGGTTTACGGAACCTCTTGCTCCTCCCCGGTCTCCGCCACCATCCTCTCTGCGATCAATGACGCTCGGCTCGCCGTTGGTAAGAGTTCAATCGGGTTCATCAACCCCACCGTAAGTCTCTTCAGCTGTTTGCAGTGCTGCACCGTGGTTAACGAGAATCTGCGGCAGATCTACACTCCAACCTTTATGGCTGCATTCAACGACATCACCACTGGATCCAACCCGGGATGTAACACGGAAGGATTCTACGCTGAGCCCGGTTGGGATCCTGTCACGGGCGTCGGGACACCCAACTTCAGCAAGCTGGTAGAGCTTTGGCTCGAGCTGCCTTGAGCAACACTGCCCGCTCAAGGTCTTCGCCTATTCCATCAGCCATGCATTAGATATTTAGTTGGCTGTTCGTTATGAAGTATACTGCTAGAAGCACCAGTGATGAAGCAGTCTAATTAAAAGGCAAAGGTATCGCATTGGGCTGCTGTTGTCCGCAGCAACGTCTCACATGCAGGATCGTGCTGCTGGTGACGAGAATACCTGTGACTCTGAGGATTGCGGCTCACGAATGAACTCGCCGTTTCGATGTGCTGTTACACTTCTCGTGTCCAGCCTCCTCACTGAGCGTGCCCCCATGCGTCCATTGCTGAGGCTATCCTGTCATCCTTATTCCTAGGCAAAGCCTGACCCCCTCACGTACTGACACTAGTCACTTCCAGGCATCCCCGATGAGGAATCGACGTGATCATGACCGACGTCCCGCACGCGTCCTGCTCCAGGCCGCGTTCGGCCACCTCGCGAAGGTCCCGCTCCTGGCGGGCGCGCCGCAGGCTGCCCGCAGGATGCAGGATGTCGCCGATGAAGTCGGTGGGGTTGAATGGCGAGGCTCCGGAAGGTAAGATGGCGAATGGACGTGTGCAGAACGGTGATGCAGTGGGGAATGTGGATGGAGAGGTGGATGGCTGTCACGGATGGTGACTGTCCCTAGAAGACCGTCTTCTCCTCCGTCAATGAGACCTTCTTTAGGGTCTGCCTAGGGCAGAATAGACCATCCCAGTAGCGGTGTGAATGGTGAACCGGTGACCTGTGGTTAATCTGAGTGTGCAGGCCTAGGAGAGGTTGAACTTGGTTACGATACGGTCGTTCTTGTTTGTAACGGGCGCGCCCGCCATATGCTTACATCAGCACGGACTACGATACATCGCCAGTCTGTTCTGTACCGTGTACTGTAGTTTTTCGCCGTTCCAACACCAGTATACGAGCCTATTCCGTGCCCGTTCTCGCTCGTTCCACGCAATCGTAGCCACTAGTACGACCGCCTGGCCCGGCCGACCCTGCCCGTCACAATATCAGTAGTGTTCAGCCTTCGGATTTTCGGCACGATCCACACGCTGACCTAACGCTTGTCGACTTTTATGGTCTGCAACGGAGACTAACGCTGACCGTTGTTCGCAGAGACAACGGTATGCGACATAGATGGTATATGCACGTACTACCTCGGACGCATAGTATTTCGCGCCCGTGGACACTAAGCACATATGTAACGCGCGAACCGCCATATTCGGAAGCCTGTCACTGTCGAACTCTTTCCACTACTTAGTCCGTGGGTTTTCCTCGATGTGTTCGGGTGGGAAGGTCATGACTCCAATTCCGCCACCGAGCAGTGAAGTCCACATTTTAAGGTGTTCTGGCCTCCCACCGACAGGTGAGTCAGGTGGGTATCCATTGAGACCTCAGACCAGTACTTGGCAATTTGTCGACACAGGTGCGGCACGTATGTACTGTGTCATCAGACCGCTGATGCTCGGCAGCATAGTCCTAGTGCATCAATACATCTAACAGTGGGCGTGTTGTGCTGTGGACTCACTGGCAGTGGTCCGAGTCCGTAGGCTTCCTGGACTTGGATGTGGGCAGGAGTACATGCGTGTGCCGGTTGTGACTCGGATGACATGTAGGTAAGACCACCCGAATATGATCGCGACCCTCCTCCAGGTACAGGTGCTACTTGGTTACGAGGGCATAAAAGCCCGCCTGTGGAAGGTGACAATTCCTCAGGCATACTGCGTGGATATGACCCCTCATCATGATAGCGAGTCCGTAGACTCCGAGTCGTTGCAATTCAAGGCCACGTCAGTAATCGCGTATACTACAATGGTGCAGCTGACAATGATGCTTACCGACTGATGCATCTGCAGCACTCGGAGGTACTCACGTTGTTCACGATGCAAATTGCTGGTACAATGTGCCTAGCCAACCAAAAACCCTGGGTGTTGATCAACACTTGTGAGTCTTGACTCCGCGTGTTGGTACGTGTTCTCTCACCACCTCTGTCGCAGGGGCATGTCTGCCCACCTGGGCCTATCCTACTGCTTCCAATGCAGCGACAACACAGGACCATGTCGCACGAGGATTATAGGTGCCAATCGTCTTCAACTCAAGAGTAAATTTGAGGCGCACCTTGGATGTCACCATCGCCATGGTATCTCTGAGAGGACGGCAGAGGATGGAAAGCGCGTATGTGAATATTTCTGGATGAAGCCGGACGGCAATGTATGCGGAAAGTCGCTTGAGTTAGACTCGGAATCGCCATGCAATGCACTGGTACAACATATCTCGAAGTGGATCGATGACCTCGCGTTGTACAGCTGTTCTTTCCCGGAGGGCGGCGGCTGTAATGGAGATCTTGCCAGTCGTCACGCGTCACGGTGGCCGTTGGGCCGACAACAGGCATTACCATAAAATCACGGTGAGTCGCCACTGTGCCAGTATGCGAGGACCACTGACGTGCTGCTGAATCGCAGCGAACGCCTAAGAATCGAACTGAAGGTTGCGAGGGATCAAGGCATGAGGCTGCGATTCCGAATATCTCAGAGTATATCATGGTCGACTCTTGGTGACACGCTCTCTCTAGCATTCATCAGAATCCACTACACCGGCGCTCTCGTTCACCTCAATTGTAAGTAATTTGTACCAGCCTCGGCAAAGCCCACAATCTTCAGACCACCAAGGGTGGAAACTCACAGTCTCATAGTACGCTAAGTAACACCCCAAGCCCACTACTTTCTTGCACGTAAGCTCAATGTCACATACATTGACATCCGAGCCTGCTCATACAGGCCGTTAATCATGGAGAGTCATAATTTTTACACCTGTGCCCACCTATTAGCGTAAGATATCATTCGAATGAGTAGACGTCTGACTCACCCCAGGATGGTTGTGATCTCTACTGTACCACGGGCGATAGGCCGATGGCGTTGCTGTCCCGAACCAGGCCACCACCGTCGCAATTCTGAATGAATGCGTCGGACCGCATGAAACTGGATAGCAGAAACGAGACCGTCCCAGGATTTGAGTGTAGTTCATGTGTGATGATGATGATGATGTTTCTCCAATGTCACGTCCCAGGCGACGGATGCTACAACGGCATATCAGCCCTAGATGCCCGAGAAAGCAAAGAAAGAATTTCCTGCAACCCACCGCAGTAACTCATCAATATTTCCGTCGCCCACAACGCCGCTGTAATGTGTGCTCAGCGCGCCTTTCCCCCGGCAAACGTCGATTACGCCGACGGGAGCTGCCGTGTTGAGCCTACTCAGCATGTCAGTATGTCGGGAGTGCTGGAGTGTGCGTATCTAAAACGCACCCGATACGTTTCTGCACGACATGGTGGGATTTGTTGTGGTCGCAACTAGGGACACCACGACGTCGAGAACATAGGGCGGCCAGGATGTGTATGGAACCGTTTTCTGTGGGATGAGGCAATCTTATCTTCGACGCACGCAGAAATGTGGAGGAACACCAGCAAGGTGGACGCACGCCCACTCTGGCCTATATAATTGCCGTCCTACCGTTGGTTTAAAATCGGAATCAGGGCGACCTTCTAGGCATGGCTACACCCTCTCGATCCTCTGAGCTGGGACAGGCAGCGTAAGTCAGGGAACACTCCTTCATTGTCTCCACACTGAGTCGGAGAGACTTTCGTAGCAGGGACATCTGCCCTGGTGCGCGTGCCAACTACGAGGCGCACCTGCTAAACAGACTACAAGATACGCGGTTGCCAAAATGCCACATAGAAACGGTCACGGCCGACGGCTCCTTGGTACGGTGCGGCGCCGATCTCCATGGTATCAATCCAAATCAAATAACACGGGCACTCGAGGTACACATCGATGAATGTCACCCCCCTTGCTTCCGTGAAGAGGACGGCGTAGCCATTTGCAACTGTTGCTGGATGCATGACGACGGCACAATTTGCAGGCAGTCGCTCAAACGACATTCGGAACATCGGCCATCTTATGCCCTCGCCCAGCATGTCGGAAAGAGGACTGACCATTTGGCACTATACCGTTGTTCTTGTGAACGGAGCGATTGCGGTTGTAAGGGAACGTTCGCCTCTGCCGACGCCCTGAACAGGCACTATGCAAAGATCGAGTGAGCATCATCCGCTTGGCCCTGTCTCCGGCAATTACTGACGCATTGATGAGCTACAGTGAACGCCTCAACCTCGACTGAATGCAGCTGAGATCGTACCACGGCCTAGAGGTACACGACCGTTGGCGCTGGACGCAGGTTCTCCCCATCGTCTTGTCTGACGTAGCTTCACCACGACATCTACCGCCCAAGTGTTCAGTTACGTCCTGCAACGCTCTGTATGATCGTTCTCACCTCGCTATGCTCTTCCGTAAAAGCGCTCTCGGTTCGCTATCGACTCATATCACGCTATCGTGTTATTGCTTTGCTCTCGCTCTTTCGCTTTGTTGTAATATGTTAGTTTGTGTTGTGGCTTTATATGAAACACTGTACCCAACCTCGTCACCTACCTACATCGCTGGCGGGCCACAAAAGTGCCATCGTCACCGCTATTTGCATGTGCCTCCCACTGATCATCACTCACGACGAGTACGCGTCGAGTAAGATGCCTCTATCGCGTCAGACGAGGCCAGCGGTAATGTACGGGGACTTGCCTACCTCAGGCTCCAGCTTGCACCGGGTCCATCCATTCAAGTTCCACGTGCCTCGCGCCTGCGTGTCAACTGTGGCGGCCGGACCAGTATGCACCCACCTCTGCTGAGTTTCAATTGAATCGTTCATCATTGTCAACGACGACAGGCACACGCATGACAATACTGCGCATCTGGATCATGCTCAGCAGATAAGTACACATGCCCCCGCAGTGATACACTAAGTAACTCACATACTGATTGTGGCACTGCCTATCCCCATCATGAGCGGGGCTCGTGGGGCTGACCTCGAGATAGCCGGTAATGCAAAGACTGCGTGTGCCCAAGCTTTCAGCAATGCGACAACACGTAAGGAAATACTCATGGTCATTATGCAATCAACTTTAGTCAAGGTACGATACACATCTTCTACTTGTACATCCCATGTATTGGGCTACAACCAAGGCCCATCGTCCCATCGTCCTGCACAAACAAACTAGAATCAGGACAACAAACGCGCCAACAGAAGGAAATGAATGCACATGAAAAACCATAATCAATCGATAGCCCCGAACCGCATGTGTTATAGAACTCATATCACATAGACGTCCTCCTTCTCCAGGCTGTACTCCTCGAGCTTCCGGAAGTACTCGATCCGCGCCTGACGTGATCGGGCACGCTCCTAGAAGCCGCATCAGTACGAATGCCTCCGCAGGGATCAACCATACGCACCTCATCCTCCTCGATATCGATCTCCTCATCCTCGTCCCTAGCGCGTTTCTTGCCCTTGCTATCCGGCTTGCTCGCGGGCTTCTGTGAGCGAGACCGCGTAACACGGGTGCTGCTCGACGGCGGACGGCTGCTCGTGGATATGCCCCTCCCGCGGGCTCTTCCTCTTCCCCTAGAAGCACCTCGTCCTCTCGCAATCCCACCGCGACTGGTACTGCTCCTGGCTTTCACTTCCTCTTCCTCAACGTCGCTCTCCGACCCGCTCTCCTCCTCGCTCGGAACGTCCTCAGCGTGCGCCTTCGCTCCTCCACGTCCACGTCCCCTACCAGCCGCTCCGCGCGCGCGTCCACGACCCCTTCCTCTCCCGCGTCCACGCGCACGCTTCGCGGGAGGCTCAGAGCTCTCAGACTCGTCGTCGGACGCAGGCTTCGCGCGTTTCGGGGGTCTTCTAGGGAGGAGCCTCTCAAGATTCTTCGCCGTCTTCGCCGGATCATCGTCTCCCTCCTTCTGTCCACGCCCGCGCTTCCTCGTCGCGGGCTTCTTCAGCTTGGGGGCCGGCTCCTCGCGCTCGCTCCCCTGGGCCTCCTCCTCTCCCTGCTCCTTATCTTCGTCCTCGACTTCGACCATCTTGTCTTCCGCAACGACGCCTCTCCGAAGTCTGAACGTCGCAGGCACGGAGCTCGTCAGGTCCAGCAGCTCCGCGGGGCCCATACTCCGGCTCGGCGTGTCCTCGCCCACCTCCGACTCCGAGCTCTCGCCCTCAAAGTGCGGCGTCGGCAGGGGGCTCCGCTTCCGCGTGCTCTTCGGTTTGCGCGGCGTGCGCGTCGGGTCGACCTCTGGCGAGCCAGGGGCGGACGCAGACTCGCTTTGCGCGCCCGGATCCGGGAGGGCAGGCTCGGGGGGTCGGGAGCAAAAGGAAGGGGAGGAGGGGCGGCATTCTCCTTGTCCTCTTCTTCGTCTTCGTACACCTCGTGCTCGTACACCTCATCGGGGTCAACGTACGAGAGCACGTCGGAGCCGTTGTCATATGCGGGCTGGACGACCGGGTCGCTCTCGCCCGGCCCCGGGTCGGGCAGCTCTGGTGCAGGGGTGTCGCGCTCCAGGCGAGGGCTGTCCAACGCGAGGAACCTATAGTCGCCGGGGTTCGAGTCCGCCTCGGAGCCACCATCGGGCGTGGGCAGTTGGAGCGGCACCGTGGACGGCCCTGGAGTGGGCTCGGGCGAGGGGGAGGGCGTGCGACGCGAAACGACGAGCGTACCGAGGGGCGCGCGGCGCGGCGCGGGAGCCTTGCCCTTGTCCTTGCTCATGTCTCGCCGGAGGGCCTTGAGCTTGCGCTCCGCCGCGATGAACCCGAACAGGTCGTCCTCTGAGCTCCTGCTCCGTTGCTTCTGCAGGGGCACCGCGCCAACGCTGGAGTCAGTAGCGACGCCCATGCCGATTTCTGCGCCCATACCCATACCCATGTTCTCCTTGTCCTCGGGCTCAAGCGGCTCGTCACCTTCCAGCTCGGCCATGAGGTCCTCACGCACCGCGAACGGAATGGGGCCACGCGAGCCAAGGGGTGAGGGCGGAGGCGGCGAGCTCGGTGGGAGGGATTCCTCCCTGGCGCGCTGCTTCCCCTTTGCTTTCGAGCTCCCCGCGACCGGCATCTGTGGCTCCGGCGCACGCGCAGGCATCTTGTTCAGCGGGAGCCGAGGTCTCCGCTTACGAAGCGGGGCAGGCGTGCTCTGCGCGGGGAGCGGGCCGAGTCCGGATTTGATGGGCGTAGGGCTTGCGAGGACACCATCGTCCTCGTTGGCGGGGCGGAGGAGCGTCTTGACATGTCTCGGCTTCGGAGTCGGCGGCACAAAGGACGGCGTGCGGTGTTCGAACCCGAAGACCGGCGGCGGCGGGAGCACAAACCCGCCGGAGGGGCGGGATGAGCTCGAGAGACGGACGTGTTTCGTGGGGAGAGGGCTAGGGGCGGAGTCCGCGAGCGGGCGAAACGTCGGCGGAGCGATGGGGCGGCGGTTGGTAAGGGTCCGCGTCGCCGTCTTAACGGGGGACGGGCTTGGTCCAGCGGAAGAATCTGAGCTCGCCCCATATGCGAGGGGCTCCCGCTCTGAGCCCGCGCGCACAGGTAGCATAGCCGCAGAGAGAATGTCAGAGTGGCGCACGGCGTCCGACCGCATGTCGTACGAGTAGCGAGGCATGTCGGACGGTCGTGCTCCTGGCCTCCGGATACGCGCTGGCGTCGGTGTTGGAGGCGCGCTCACCTCAGAACCAGTCTCCTCCAAGGGCTCTGGAGGCGGCTGCGGGACTCTGCGAACATGAGGTGGATGCGGGGAAGGCGGGACAGAACGCAAGTTGCCATTCTCGTCGGAGACGACTGGTACGACTTCGGGAGCAATGGGGAGCGCGCCGAGAGGTTTTCGGGGTTCGCTGAAAAGGGCCTCCTTCGCCTTGGACGCGTTCGAATGGTGAGACTGGGGCGTGTTCCCCGGCGTCTTGTCCTGCAGCGCAGGGCGCCGGCGGGTGCGCATGGGTCTGGTACAGTACGACTCTGTTGATGGCTGGCAGGTCAAAGCGCATACACACACCTCGTATGTTAAGAGTCGGATTGTTCTCAAGACCGACAAACGCAGGCGTTCTGCTCGTACTGGCGATGTAAGCCCTTTGCACTGCGGTTGCTCAGCAGGAGTGAACGCTCGATATGTCACGTCTATTTGGCGTGATTTGAACCAATATGATAGCTGCGCAAGCAAGAAAGAGAGAAACCAAGCAATTACGGAGACATGGGGGTCAAAGGCAAAGAGGCGTTGTGGACGACTAGGCGCGGCATTCGATCGTGTTCGCTCTTCTGTCACACGTCACGCCCCAGGCCGCATTGTTCTTGTCACGCCGTGACAAGGGCTTCGTTTGCCAGTGGCTGCGGTCGTTCCGAAGCCTAGATGGAATGCCAACGTGAGAGCTGCAGTGTCAAGGCTACATACCAGATAACATGTCAATATATTACAATGCATCGAATAGTACTGGTGTCATGGATGAGTACTAAGAAAAGTGATAAATTACACGTGCGAGTCTCCGGAGCTGCCTCTCCAAGTCCATGTTAATCTACATCCTGCGGTCGAGCCACCGTTGGATCCGTAAAGCTATGATTGCATTTTGTGCAGACGAAGAAGAGGATCATCCGTGTCTCCTTCCGCTTGGACTGGTCCTGGAAGTAAACTGCGCTAAAGGAGCAGACCGCCAAGTGTCAGCGCAACGCGAGGGGACGTCTCAAAGTGGTGAAACCAAGGTTACGTACTCGTCGTTCCCACATTGAGGGCACTGCATATCGGCATGCGCCTAGGAAGCTGTGAGGCGAGAGTGCAGAGTGAACCCGAGCGAGCGTACCAGTGTAGTATCGTTCATGAGGTCTCCTGTCACACCGATCTGCTCTCTGAGATGGACAGGTAAGTACTACTCAACCATCGAATTTCGCAACGTCCAACAGAGATGGCCACATCGCAGAGAGCAATAGGGACATCCTTGGTACACGCTCGCAGAGAACGGTACGTACTTTGTCACCGTCAGCAAGTCATTCCTGTATACACACTTGTTCTCGCCAACCTCGTCGTAGTTGCATATCCGGCACGCATACACCATGATGCGCCGTTGCGGATCAGCCTTGGGGTAGAGCAGGTTGTTGCATTCCGAGCAGAAGTGAAGCGAAGCCTAGTTTCCGAGCACAGCAAGGCGCATCGATCGTTACCGAGTTCAGCCATGCATGTCAAATTTCTACTCACCATAGTGTCAAGCTCCCCGACACAGGCAAATCTTGCGGCGGTACGGTACTTCCAGCAGTGCTTGGTGGTGCAGGACAGAGAAGAGACTGAACGTAGGCCACAGATCTCTGTAAGCGCGCATACAATCTCGATCACGTGTCATCATTTTCTCTCATCGTTCTCGTCCACAGATTTTGAGCCTTCGATCATCATCCTCGCGCGGACTGCTGAAGTCCAGCATATCCCTCCATCTATCCGACCTGACTCCCAATCAAATAACCAACCAACATGCTCTCAGAAGAAGAGTCTGACACCGAATCTATCCACCGGCTCACCATCAACGAGCACTTCGCCAAAGCGTATGAGTACCGCAAGGAGCGCGAAGAGCTCGCGAAGCGTACGTCCGCCCGCGCCCTCACCCACTCAATCTAACTCAGCGTTAGTACAGTGAAGGAGAAGTACGGCTCGGACGTGGACGATGCCGACGTCGGTGGGGACGAGGACGACTCGGAGGAGGACGAGAGCGAGGACGAGGATGGGGAGGAGCTCACGCCGGCGGTGGACGCAGCGATACTGAGGACGCTGGCAAGGATCAGGAAGAGAGACCCGGCGATCTATGAGAGCGGGAAGGATATCTTTGAAGGTGAGTCTTGACAATGCTGCTCAATACATCATTCGTCTGACTGCTCGAGTGCAGAGGAGCGCCAGAAAACGAACGGCGCAGCGCCAGTAGCGCGGGTACAAAGAGACAAGGCACGTCCCGCCGCGTCCACTAGTCCTCCGCCTCGCTATAGCTAACATAAAATTTAGTCAAAACCCTTGACCATGCGCCAACACGCCCTCGCCTCCGCCCTGAGCCCCTCCTCCCGCTCTCCCTCCCCCGAACCGCTCACACACGTCGCTGAACAAGCTGCCCTCCGCAAAGAGACTATCTCTGCCTTCCACGGCGCCGTCTCTGGAGCAAAAGTAGAAGACGAAGAAGATGACTTCCTCGTGCCGCGGGAGAAGACGAAAGACGAGGTCGAGAGGGAGGAGGAGGAGTACCGTGATTTTCTGCAGCGGGAAGTGGGCGATGACTTGAGGGAGATTGTCACGCTCGATGCGGGTGCTGCGACTAACGGTGCAGAAGGTGAGGTCAAAGTAGAGGAGGGCAAGGAGAAGAAGAAGAAAAAGAAAAAGAAGGAGGATGCGAAGGGTCATAAGAACAAGGATGAAGAGGATCAGGAATTCCTCATGAAGTGAGTTTTTGATCGTTTGTCCTCTCACGGCAAAGTATCTCACATCTCACTAGTTACATCCTCAACCGCGGCTGGCTCGACCGCTCCGCGCGCCGGCTCCCGACCTACAAAGAGATCGTCGGCTCCAAGAAAGGCGCGAAGGGCAAGGGGAAAGCCAGAGATGGCGGCTCCTCTAGCTCCTCCGCTTCAGAGCATGAGCAAGATGTCAGGTCCGAAGACGACTCCAGCGCCGGGTCTGGCGGAGAGCCGCTGGATGAGGACGAGGACGAGTTTGACGAGGTAGCAGACCGCTTCGAGAGCTCGTACAACTTCCGTTTCGAAGAGCCGTGCGTTCCCTCCTTGATACACTCAACATACGCGCATGTGCTCACAAGGCCGTGTTTCCAGAGGCGCAGATGCCATCCCTCGATACCCACGAAACATCGACTCCCTTGTCCGGAGGCAAGACACCGCACGAAAAGAAGCGCGCGAGAAGCGGAAGGCACGCAAGGAGGAGGAAATGCTCAAGAAGCGCGAGGAGGTGAAGCGATTGAAGTCGCTCAAGATGAAGGATCTACAGGCGCGGCTCGAGATGATCGGCAAGGAGGGCGGGAAGAGCCTCGCTAGCAAAGGTATACCTCCATCGATTGGTTCTTACCGCGAGATGCTAACGATCGGTTGACTTTTCAGCACTACAAAAGCTGGACTTAGAGGGAGACTGGGACCCCGATGCGCACGACCGACAAATGGCGGAACTCTACGAACGCGAGGTGGAGGCCGATGCGATGGTCGACGATGAGAAGCCGACGTGGGACGACATTGACATCACGGATATCGCGCCCCCAGATGACGACGAAGACGGCGCCCAAGCGTCCTCGAGCAAGAAGAAGAAAAAGAAGAAAAAGAAGGACGAGGATGTTGCAGATGAGGGCGGCGTGGACATCGACGAGATGGACGCGGCGGTGGAGCGCGCGCCCGCGGACGAGGAAGAGTGGGACGGCACGGAGGAGACACGCAAGCGTGTGCTGGAGAAGTACATGGACGAGCTCTACGGGCTCGAGTTCAACGATATGGTGCGTCGCCCTTCCACTTCCCGTCCCAGCTTCATTCTCACCCTCTCTCGGTAGGTCGGCGACATGCCTACACGTTTCAAGTATGCTCGTGTCGAGCCGCAGGCGTTCGGCCTCTCGCCCGTGGAGATCCTCACGGCGACCGACCCGGAGCTGAACCAGTTTATGGGCATCAAGAAATACGCGCCGTACCGCAAGGAGGGCAAGGGCAAGACCTGGGACGGCCAGCGCACCGCACGGCTTAAGGAACTCCGGGAGAAGCTGAAGGATCGCGGGGTCGAGCTCTCGGAGGGCGGCGCGGGGAGGGAGAGGGAGAGGGCGGAGAAACCGAAGAAGAGGAAGGGGAAGAAGGAGCGTATGAAGGAGAAGGCGGCTGCTATTGGTGCAGGGGTGGGCGAGACGGATGGCGGTGAAGGGGATGTGTATGAAGGTGAGGACGTGGAGCACAGTGCGGGCAGGAAGGCGAAGCGGAGGAAGGTGGAGGAGAGGAGTAGCGAGGTGGGCGACGGGGCGGATGAACCAGAGAATGCTGATGGACAGGATGCGTCGACCAAGAAAAAGCGGAGGCGGCATAAAAAGTCACATCATGCAGCGGGGTAGATGGAGAGGCATAAGTTTGAATATTTTTTGTCTAGTGTTCGTTCACTTAGGCTATCTGCGACCATGCCACCGCATGAATCAATCACTGCGTCCCAGTGAGTCTGTTCTCTACAACTGATCAGTAGTTCGCGCAACAATCACAGCAGTACGCTACATGCCTGTTTTGACGCCATGGCGATTTCTACCTCGGCTTCGTCGTACTCTCTGTTGCTGCGAACCCCATTTCTCTTTGAGGTTCGATTTCTTGCCAGATCCCATGCGTGAGTATTCCTTACGTGTGTTGTCGCACTGCTGAGCGCTGAAAGCTTGACAAGGCACGCGCGGTCATTCATATTCATTACCGGCTATATCTAGGTCAGCTCCACGGACCCCGCTCGTCACATCGAGATTGGCAGTACTGCCACGAGCAGCATGTGAGTTATCCATTGTATCACTGCGGGGCATGCGTGTCCGCTGAGCATGATCCAGATGGCGGAGTATTGTCATGCGTGTGTGCTTGTCGTCGTTGACAACAGTGAACATCTCAGTTGAAATACAGCAGAGATGGGTGCATACTGGTCCGGGGACCACAACTGACACGCAGGCGCGAGGCACGTGGACTCTGAATGGATGGACCCGTTGCAAGCTGGAGCCTGAGGTAGGAAAGTCCCCGTGCAATACCGCTGGCCTTGTCTGATGCGATGGTGAAAAATAGCCGTAACGATGTCATGTTTGTGGCCCCACAGCGATGTAGGTATGTAAGGAGGTAAAGTACAGTGATTGAAAGCCATAACAAAGACTCATATATTACATCAAAGCCAAAGCGGAAGAGCGAGAGCAGACCAATATTGCGATAGCAGATTACGAGTCAATAGCGAATGGAGAGCACTTCGGTGGAGGAGCATAGCGAGGTAACGACGGTCATACAGAGCATGGCAAGACATAACTGAAGTTTTGGTGGTAGATGTCATGAATGGTGACGCCGCGCTAGAGAAGACGATGCAAATATTGTGTACCTCTAGGTCGTGTCACAATCTCAGCATCAGCCGAGGCGGAGGCGGAGGCGTTCGCTGCTGCGCAATGGTGCGTCAGTAATTGCCAGAGACAGGGGTAAGAGGATGCTCACTCGAGCTTCTCATGGTGCCTTCTCAACGCGTCGGGAGACGCGAACATTTTCTTGCAACCGCAGTCGCTCCGTTCACAAGCACGACGGTACAACGCGAAGTGGTCAGTCCTCTTTCCGATATGCTGGGCGAGGGCGTAAGATGGCCGATGTTCCGAGTGACGTGTGAGTGACTGGCTGCAAATTGTCCCGTCACCATGCATCCATAGACAATTACAGACGAGTACGTCGTTCTCTTGACGGAAGCGAGGAGGATGAACTGAAGAGATGTGTTCCTCGAGGTTCCGTGCTACATGATTTTCGTTGTTACCACGGATGTGGGTGCCGCACTGTCCTGGTGTCCCGTCGGCCATGACCTCGAGTTGGCATATACGCAACCACGGCTCCTGCCCAATGTTCAACGGTTGGTCCGTGGGCCCCCGCCAATGTTGCTGCTGTCGGCATCCGGACCCGTATATTCACTAAGTGTGACTGGTGAGCAATCGTCATGATGCATCTGACTTCTGCTTACTCATCTGCACCTTCGTATCCTTCTACATCGTCGTTGTCTGTCACCGGAGCAGGCAGGCCCCTGCAGGATACTCAGTAAGACTCGACACGACATTTACAATTATTGATCTCACAGGTACGTCTCTATAGCTTTCGGCCTGTTTCGCAGGTGCGCTTCATAGTTGGCATTCGCACCAGGGCCGATGTACCTGCTATGAAAGTCTCTCCGAATCAGCGTGGAGACAACGAAGGAACGTTTCATAACTTACGCCGCCTGTGCTAGCTCAGAGTATTGGAAGTGTCTCTCCATGTCTCGACTGACTTGTCGCCCTGTTTCGCTCAGCGCCGCCTTTTTAGCCGACCATAGGTCGGCGATTATGGAGGCCAGAGTGGGCCTATGTCCACCTTACTGGTGTTCCTCCACATTTCTGCGTGCGTTGAAAATTGCCTTGCTCAACAGGAACCTCCTCTATACACCATCCTGGCCGCCATGTGGTTTCGAGGTCGTGTCATCTTCAAGGTTGAAACAAATCCCACCATGTCGTGCGGCAGGAATGCATTGAGTGTGTTGCTTAGATACCCGCGCTTCAGCATTCCTGACCTACTGACACGATGAGTAGACGCAACACATTGGCGCGTGCCCTGTAGATGCGGCCATACAATTGATGTTAGATGGGGAAATGAGCGCCGGGCAAAAGTTCACGTTTGCGTGGTGGGTGATGGAAATGCCCATAGGGTACTGTGGTGGGATGAAAGTACCACTCTGCTTTCTCGGGCCTCGGCTATCGAGTTTGAGAGGCCTCCGAGAGATGTTACGACGACCAAGCGCTGTGCGCCTAGTAACTTGCTACCGACGCGCCTGAAGGCCTGATAACCCCCGCCGACTCTGACGGGTCCGTGAACCTCACGGCACCAATGACTTCCTATCGTGCTTTGGCCAATGGTCTACCGTAAACAGTAGTCCTCGTGTGATGTGGGTCCATATCGAGAACGACTCGGCAAGGACTCGGTTGCATTTGGATCGTCGATGAATCTGGCATGCTATCACTGATGTTACTTAGCCGCTTACTCGACTCTTTGCTTCGCGGAAGTGGTGGAAATGGTATGTGTCCTATGTAGGTCCTAGTGTCTGGCATGTATAATCAGTCAACGAGTTCTCTACAGTCGCACTCGGCGCCAGAATGATGCACCCATCAGTAGGTGCCGTCGGTCTCCCCGGCGCGCTCTATGTCATTCCCAATATTATGTACATCCTATAGGCCTACGCCCATGCTCTGTTACGCTCGAGCGCGAGTGCCAATCCTGACATGTATGAGCATCTGGCGTGCCCCCTAAGTCTCACAGCGCATGACGTCCAATCAGACTTGCAGCGCCTGTATACTGCCTGAGCGTTGCAAAGTTGCGAGCCATGCTGGTGTTCGTTTCCACTGCAACAAGTTAGTAGTTTCACCAATACGGACCGAGACGGAAGAAGTGCCATCTGTTGAACAACCGTTCATTCATCCAGGATTGAGATGATACTGGTGGCCTGGGATGTAGAAAGTACATCTTCCGTGAACTTTGATACACTCGAGATGAAGGCCGCCCTCGTAGGGTCTGGAGGTGGACTTAGTCAAATGGCAGCAGGTGGATTCATAAACGGTTGATGATCGTGACGGTTGAATTCATGTGGACAGTGGGACTCCGACGGCGATGTACGCGACGTTGAGTGTATGTGTAAAAAATAGACTTGGGCCGATTAGATAAGGTGTTCCTTGGGTGGGTTTCCACGTTTGGTGGCCGCAATGTACACAGTAAAATACTCAGGCTGTCGGTGTCGCGGGTAATGGTCTAGTGGCACTTGGCCAGGTCCGAATCGGCCGCAGGGCAATTATACCAGTAACCTAATCATTCAAACCTTCGACTCGGAGTCGAGCTCAATATGGGCCGTCGGCGGTCTTCATACATAGTGACTCGTACACTGGGCTCGTCACGGTACGTGCCGCAAGAATCATCTATCTCTGCTGCTCATACGCCGTCCGATGGTCTGAGTGAAGTACAGGTTTATTCTGGCTTGCGAAAAGTTGCTGATAAAGCCTGGCGAGGCAGTCAATGGTCGCCGACTCGTATTAGTTGGATTAGTCGCCGGAAAGGGCCCCAAGGCCGACCGTACAGAGCTCGCACATCCGCGTGTTATATAGCTGCAGCCTAGATACATACGTCTTCTCTGGTGAGACAATCTAGTCCTTGTGACATGGCATCAAAAGGTGACCAACACCTTAATCCCGAAATCTCGTCGTGATATCTCCCTCACCAGTGTGAGATCCATGAGGTTTATGCACCGGCAGAACGCCAGCTGAGTCAGATACGTATACAGAGATGCATGTCAAGGCCAGTTAATGTCTGGACTATCATCTTCAGTGATAGATTGGTCAGGCCAAGGAATATACGGTTACAAGGCTTGGAACTGAGCTAAACGAGGGCAGTATATCGGAACCTAATAATGATTGAATGGGCACGTCAAGAATGGACATAATTTCGTGAGGTGAGGCTGAGGCGGGGGCGACATGGGGACAACAGATAACGTCAGCCCATGATTCACTCTGAGATCTGAGAGCAAGACACAGCCTATCTTGATTTTCCGAGTAACCTATGATTCATTTATTTATTAAGCATTCGCTGCAGTTCAGTAGTATGTCAGCGGTCCTCGTACTATTTCAATGGCGACTTACCAGAGTTTATGGTAATGTCTTTTGCCGGTCCCGTGGTCGCAACTGGCAAGGTCTCTCTGGCAACTGCTGTCGCTCCCTGGGCCCTTTGGGCAAGAACAGCTGTACCACGCGACGTCGTCGAGCCACTTCCAGACATGTTGTACTAATGCATAGCATGGCGGTAATACGGGGTCGACCTCAAGTAACTCTCCGCATACATTGCCGTCTTCATTGACCCGGGGACATTCCCATATGTGTTTTCCATCTTCTGTTGTCCTCGCGAAGATATCGTGGCGATGGTGATTTTGAAGGTGCCCCTCATAAGCTTCCTTGAGCTGGTGCAAATTGGTACCTGTAATACTCGTTTTGCATGTTCCTGTGTTGTCCCTGCACCGACAGCAGCAGGACAGGCTCAAGTGAGCCGGCATGCCTCTGCAACAGAGGCAGTGAGAACATTCGTAACAAGACGCGGAGCCAAAACTCACAGGTGCGTACCAGCGCCCGCAGAGGGTTCTGGCCTGCTGGACATATAATTGACCCCGCAATTCGCATTGAAGGCGATTTGAATGTCTCTGCTGCGTATGAGCCATTCGATTAGAATCATGAACAGGTTAACCAATATATACGTGGAGACTGACGTGGACTCGGACTGCGGCGTGACGGAGCTATTGTGATGATGGGCCATATCAATGTATGCCTGAAAACGCCATCCCCCGGGTGCGAGTCTTATAAACGCACCTATGTGGAGTGTGGTCGCAACGTTCTGGCGTGGTGGTCTTACCTATTACTTGAGGTCATATCTGCCTGTAAACAACCCCTGTCACCTCCAGTTCGGGGTGGACCGGTCGTGAACGAATGAACCAACAAATGATATGACCCGCGGACCGGGTGGAAATTGGAATGCCCACCAGGCTCATTTGATGGTGGAGGACAAGAGTCCATACTTTTCCCGGTTGATCAACGACGGCTACACTCGGTGGCATAGGCTTCCAGAACGCGTCGAAAGTCGAAGGTGTGGTGGACCTGTGGAAGGAACTCAAGTTTGAAAGTGGTATGGAGGAGGAGGAGGAGGAGGGGGGATCCACATCCTCATTCGACAGGAGGTGCCGCAGGACGCGTTAGTTGACCGTGGAATACGTAACATCGCTAGCGCGGATGATCATGCATCTGAGGGGGTAAGTACTGCATACAACTAATGAGCACCTCAGTTGAATGCGTCTGTTGGTCTCGATGTTTTACCGATGGTTGCTGTGCTGTGGCCCTCTTAGCGTACAGCCGGGGTTTGCCGGCTGCCGTTGGCGCCGTTGAGCATGAGGTCGGTTAGACGCTGTTAGACGTGGAGGAGGGCGTGACGAATACTTCCCTCGATCTAGGTTCTCATCGTCATCAAATTGCGTCTTTCAAGTTACCTGCCATCGCAAGTATAACAGCTCAAGGTCACGGAGGCTGAGGAGATCTCCGTGGTTGGCCTGTCGCCAAGGCGCTGAGGAAGTCCGCGGCCCGTTCGGAGACGATGGACCGCGGCCGTGCGTGGACGTGGTGGTACAGTAAGAGTTGAAGCTCTCAGTCCTCATATGCGGAAAACCTGCCAGGGCGGCAACTGTTAAGAGAGATCGTCCATCACAGAGCGCAGGGGCCTCTGTTTCCGAGCCTGACGCGCCCGAGCCTGGTTGATTGGGTACATCAGAACATCATCTACTACTAATATCTTGAGAATCAAGGATAAACATATCACGTAGCTTCTGTAAATATACTAGTAGCGACGACGGGAGTAGCGTCGTTGCTGATACTGTCTGGTCTATCTGGCATGTATACATACCTTCTATTCCGTGACCAGCGTCGAGTGTGCATATCGCGTCGTCCGTGACGGTCCTCTAAGCCTGCACACTGACCACAGGCGCACCATTCACACCATCGCTGAGATAGTCACCATCCGCGACGGCCTTCCGCGCCACCTCTCCATCCACACTCTCCACCGCCTCGCCATCCTGCACATGTCCATTCGCCGTCTTACCCTCCAGAGCCTCGCCATCCCCACCGACCTCATCAACAACGTCGAGCACCCGGCGCGCAGCCTGCGGCGCGCCCGCGGGGAGCGGAACCTTCGCGAGGCGGCCGAATGCGACCTGGAGCATGATGCGGACGAACGTCGCCCAGAAGAGCGTGACGGGCCAGTAGTAGCGATAGCGTGTCCAGAGGAACGTGCGCGGGTAGCGCGAGAGGGTCTTGTCGTAGTCCGCTGGGAGGCGAGTGGTTATTGGTCGCGTCGATGATGGGGGCGTGGTGGTGAACGGGACGTACCTTGGAGGTCGCGGCGGAGCTGGTGCAGGACGTGCGGAACGTCGGTCATGATCACGTCGATCCCCCATCGGATCGCCTGGAAGAAACCGGTGTGAGTACGTGTCGCGATCGAGCTCGAGCTTTGCCTGGAGATACGGAAGACAGGGAGAAATGGTCGCATGGGGCACCCTCAGCGAGGATGACTATGTAAAAGAGGGGGAAACGTATGCAAGCGCTGCCACCATATAGCCCAGCCCTCCACGACAGTCAAGGCAGACGGCAACGATCGCGTGGCCTAACGAGTAGAGCGGTAGGTCATCATGCAGTTGTAGCATGCCAGTTAGATCGCAGTATGGAACAGAAACAGGGCATCGTCAGAGCGCGACTGAGTCCACCACTGGGCGCCCTGACGCAGTCCACGGCGATATGACACCAATCACCACCATCTTGTCTGCAGAAATCCTCACGATCGCCTGCTGGATCCGCATGCGCCTCAGAGACGGCGACACTTTACTTCCTCGACCCAATGACGAGCCACGACCCAGGCTATATGCGCCTTTCCGTCGCGCCGCACATCGCCCCAGGACCTCCCCCTCCCAGGAACAAGAAGAACCACCAGCCAGCCAGACTCAGACTCACCTCGGCCATTTCCAGCGGGTCGTTCACCGTCCACACCATCGTCGTTTTCCCCGCCGCCTTGCACTCCTTGAGGAACCTGTGTTCGTGTATGCTCGTCAGCCACCTCCGATATGTCCTCCTCGGCGAGGAAAGCGAGGAGGTCGGAATCGGATGGGTGTATGCGTGGCCAGAGGATTGTGGAGGGACGCATGAACATGGACGCGCTAAGCGTGATCGCTGCAGTCGCAACGCGGACATGTGAGGAGCACGGCGGCAGCGCGGGTGGTGTTTCTGCACCACTTTCTGGCTCATACAGTACCGGTCGCCGCTCAAGACGATGCGGCACAGCGAATACAGTTTCAGGATGGTACTCAGGCATGCGCGTGCACGCTCTGCGCGGCTTTAGAGGACCTCCTGCTACTAAAATCACCATGAACTCCCCGCATATAGCCCGTCTGAACAGGCCAGCCCCACGCTGTGAAGCGAGGATCGCGTCGCAGAGAGACGCGCGGTCCCGCCACTCCCACACGCCCCAAATCCACACGCGAACATAAGACACAATCACTCACCTCTGCCCCGCCCTCGTCACCCACTGCCCAAAATGCAGGCTCATCACGTCACAGCTCTCCCAGAACCAGCGCCGCGCGAGCACGACGTTGAACCCGATGTGCGCGCGGCCGCAGCGGGGGAGGACGTCGATCGCGGGGCGCACGTAGCCCGTGTGCCACACGCCGAGGAGGATGCGCGGCGCGAGCGCGGTCTCCCAGGCGTCGTACGCGCGGAGCGCGCGCGCCATCAGCGCGAAGATCTTCGCGAGCGAGTTCGACGGCTTGATGTCGATGTGCAGCTTCGCGTGCTGGTTCTCGGGCTGGCGCGGCGGGGCGGGGCGTCAGCGTGCGGTGAGGGGAGGGGGAGTGAAGGGGAGGGGGCTGACCCGCATGAAGAGCGCGATCGTCTCGTCGAAGGTGGGGATCGGCTGCGGGGGCTGTTTCTTCGTGCGGAGGTGCTGCATCCCGTTAGGGCCGTACCACTTGTGGTCCTTGATGCGCCCTGCAGCGGGTCACGGACGTGAGCACTCCCGGCCTGGAGCCGCCGGGCGCACTCGTCGTCATCACGAGTGCAGACGCACCGAAGCCGTTGGTCGTCCGCTGGAGCGCTGGTGCGGGCGTAAGCGTCGAGTCGCGTGTATGTGGAGGAGGAGGACGCACTGGGGTCGTGGAACATGATCACGACGTCGTCCTGCGAGATGTGCACGTCTGCCAGTGCGGTCGGTTCGAGTCAGCGCATTTGTTGTGTTGTTCGCGCATACAAGCACGCACCGGTCTCGATCCCATCCGCACCATCCCTGATGGCGCGTTCGAAACTCGCGAGGGTGTTCTCGGGGAAGGATACAGAGGCCTGAGAACGGCGAGGAGGTGAGTGTTGTTGCGATGATGGACAGGCGGGAACAGGTGCGCACCCCTCGATGACCCCAGCATTCAGGCAACTTCGGAGGCATGGTAGTGGTCGGGTTTCGCGAAATCAAGCTGTTCAGTCCGGCGATTCGTCTACGGAAGGGGTATCGCGAATAATGAGAGCTCGGGAGGGCAAGAAACGGAGCGAAGCAAGACTCCGTGTGCGATGTAGAAGTACGAGTCGGAGGTTATCGTGCGCAGGGCAATATTGGGGGTGGCATGGCTCGGCAGGCGAGGTGCGCATCTGGTCGGCTGCTGACAGCTGCTGACATCTGTAGACAATGCGAATGTCATCGCGTTTGATGGAGTGGCGCACGAGCTGCCGGGCATTCGCCCGTCAGAGTCTAATATCTATCAGAGTCAGATTAATTCACCCCTCACACACACGGTCTCGGGACCCACCAACCACAGCATCCACGTGCACACTACCCGTTTTGGGTCGATGCGCAGCTGCCAGTGTGGGTCCGCTGTTCGAGTTCCTATCAGAGCGACGCGGTAGGTTTGCACGCTCATAGATATCTCTGACGTCGGCAACAGCTAGACAGGCGACATTATGCCAAGCACAGCGGATCAGCGAACGCGGCACAGGTATGACAACATAATATTAATATTAATCTCACCACTCCCTGCGGAATCCTGTAACACCGACAGCACCTCATTCTGCGTGAACTCCGCTTCCCGGAGAGGCCTGCCCGAGACTGTGATGATACCGGATGTACGTACAACCGGACGCGACAGGCGCACAGCATGTACGACGCTTTTTGCTGGACACGATTGTGATGAATCACAGCAACGTCGGACGGGGTGCACGCAAATAGGATGCAAGACACAGGGACACCTTCCACCCATTCCTAGCTCGGGTGGCTCGGAGGTGAAGAAGTAAGATCGAGGTGAAACATGGGCGCACGGGTTGCCGCGGACGTACTAGCGGAGATCGTCGTTGCAACGTTGCGCCGATCGCGCACGCACCTCCTGAGAACCCTAACCACTTTCTCAGTCTACCCGTCATAGAGAGGCAGAGCGATCGACGCAGGGGACTTCTAATAGGAGACATGACGGCGCGAGAACGTCCTCACGTCGAACGTGGCCTTCAGTACAAAGGATATAGCCGAGGTTCGGATCCCAGCCTCATCCCGGGCTTGTCCCGGGCCCCGGTACGCATGCCTTCTCGATCTCCAAGACTTAGAGTGTCGCTTGAAGTAGTCTATGATGTTGACCATATACGACAGCGTGTGCCGACACCTTCTGTCGCAAACACAACGGGATGTAAAGGCTGTGACAAGGTTGCATAAGTGCAGACAGGGGGTCAACGTTTTCGACCTAGGAGAGCGTGACTTGTTCTTCAACGAGCAAGGGACAGTAACGCCGCACGCACCACTGCATCGAACCCTAAGTAATACCCATGTTTCGTTCCACATAGACTCCAACTGTACATACCATATAGTGCCCCGGCGGAATCACCTCTACGTAGTACGGAGGCGCACCGAGCCAATGCACAGCAGGACACCATCATTGCTTTAATATTGTAGGCATGTACATAGTATCTAGATAGAGTCTACATAGGGCTTTGCCCTCAAACGACTATAAACGGGATTTACCAGGAAGCATAGCTCGCAAAGTCCGTAACAACGTAGCGACAGGTATCGGCGAAACCACAGATGCGTACTTCGTGGTCCCTAGGTTGGCGATCGAGATCATCCGAGGACAGGGTTCTGCTGATCGGCTTTGAGTAGCTGCTGGTGAGAACATCCCATCCCATGCGGATGAAAGTGAGCTGAAACGCCCGCCATGCAGTTCTCGGGACCGTTTGAAGAATGGGCGACCAGGTCTCGAGAAATTCAAAGAAATCCGCCCGGTGTCCACTGGCAGAAACGAACTGCTTGAACGACTCACTGGCTTCCTGTTCAACGTGGACGTCGAGGCGCCGCACGGACGGATTCCACGCTAAACTCAGTGCAGATGCATACCCAACGTCGCACACTATCAACACACTTTTAGAGAGGGCAAAGGTACTGTTGAAAGCGATGACGTACTTCGTCCTGGCATACCAGCCAGAGATATGTGCTCCAACGAGGGGCCAATCACTTGCAGAAGTCGGGTCAACAAATGGGCGCCACCGGTGACCTCGGTGATGGTCAGGTATGTTACGTGCTGGCAACACGGCGGGTGTACCGTGACGAACCAATCGACCAGAGCGGCAAGTAGCCCGATATCCAAGTGACATAGCTCGAGCCGCTGCAGATGTGGGACGGATACGTGAGTTTGGGGCCGCTCAGAAGGAGCTAACGACAGAGCCGAAGCCTGAGGGCGCACTGGCAGTGCGTATTTTCCGTCACGCAGAACCAGGGTGTCCAGCTGTGGGGATGCGAGGATGATGCGGCGAAGCTGGCCGAAGCTGGCCAAGACGAAGTCGACAATCTCCAGGCTACGGAGATTTCTGAACAGGCGCAGACCTCTGGTGAAGGTCAGGTGCATTGACGGACGTATGCATCCCTCGAAGACGAGATTGCGCACGTCCGGCATACAAGCACCCAAGACCAAAGGTACGCTATCGCAGAAGCGCACGTCGCCATAGCGCTGGTGGATCCGGAGTGTGGTGGTGCGACTGAGCCTCTGCCTTACCCGCGCATCGCGATTGAGGCACAGATCGCGTAGAATTATGAGACCTTCCCGGTCGCGAATGCACAGGTCCGGATAGCGGATGTGGCCTGAGCACCGATACCACTCCCGGCAGACGAGCGCGACCGACGAACGCTCCGTCTCCGTATAGAGGTGAGAGAAGACGTTGTAAAAGACATCGAGGGGAATACGTCTTGAGAGTGATCGGGGGAGGGGATATACGTGTTTGCTGGGGACTGGAGCCCAATAATATGTGTCCCAGTCGACAGGTCTAGGCACGCTGTCGCACTCGAGCTCCTGACTTGCGTTGATGAGATAACCTTGACGGACTGCGTCCATGACCCACTGGTGATAATGTCTCTAAGTAGATGTTGGTCTCGTCGTTACTGCTAGCATATGCAAGAAACGAACAAACCTGCCAGTGTTCGCGGCCGCGAGGAAAGTCAGTCTTGAATGGGAGGTCCGCGGGCTTGCTCACGGTCTTCCTACCAGCTAGAAAGTTGCTTGAGGGGCCCCCAACTTACGAAGGGGCACAGCTGCGAGCCCACAGCCTCACAGCGTTCCACGATAACACTTATGAATGGGTTCCATACGTACCGACCTGAGACCGCAGAAGGCTCTGAATCTTACCACCAGATACACCGCCCCCGGTGCCTGTTTGCGTCTTTTGTATAGAGAAGCCAGGTATGACGGAACCCTGTCAACGACGGGCAACTCATGGGAACAGGGCTTCCTCTATAACCTGCAGATACAGTCACGGAGCATATACACAGTACACCGCCTTGCACCGCGCAAATCCTATCTTTGTTGATCAGTTATGCCGCTCAGTTGCCATGCAGTGGACCGTACGTACCCTCAGTTCCCTCGCCACCGCCTCAACAGCCTTCTCATAAACCCCGGCGTCTCTCTCCGCAGCACCTACGGCATCGCTATCCTCCCCAAATCTGACTTATTTTCTGGGACGTCGAAAGTTGAGCGTGCTGGCAGAGGCAGAAGGCGGGGAGGAGGGGACTCGGTGTCGACGGACTCAAGAGTCAAGACGGACTCGGGAGGAAACGACGTAGGAGTCCACGTGACTTCCCGTGCATACTAACTTAGCTTATACCATATACGGCAATAATGTTGAAGCCACGACGAGTCGGACTCGGCGAGTAATGCTGATATGTGTGTACGTACATGTGTCTAGGGTCGACATACTCGCTGCTAGCCACCTCCAAACAGGTCGTGAACATTCCGCAATCGTAGAGCTCCGCTTCTGTGCCCTTCAACTTGCCACAGCTTCAGAAGCTTGCCATCGTCGTCATGTCCTTCAACCCAACCGCACTGAGACCCCGACTACAGACGGAGTTCTACGAGTTCCTGGAACAAAAACTCTTGAGTGTGGAGTCGCAGTTGAGTACATCAGAGAAAGTGAGTTAAGCTCGGTTGCCTTGGCGTCGCGGTATTGACTCAATGGTGATGCTCAGGAAAGGAAAGAGCTGGGAGTTGCGTTGACACAAACCGAGAAGAAGCTCGAGGCTTCTAATGCTGTGTGTTACTTCATACTGGGCTGGAGACCTATCAATCTGACTGTCTTTGTATATGGATAGGAACTGAAAGAATTGCGAGCAAATGCTGGTGCTCCTGTTGAAGTACCACCGAACAAAGACGAGGTGCGTCTCCAGTTGCTCTACATCGCTGAGCATGAAAACTTAATTATTCACAAACAGACAGAATCCACTGAATCACTCAAAAATGATGTATATTTTTTGGGCTAACACTTGTCCCCGTGCTGCTGAATGTCGTAGTTACAGCAAGTATCAGATCTGCTCGCGAGGGAACGAGCGCGCCGTGAAGAAGCAGTAAGTTTGCGGTCTATATATGTCGCTTGTTGTGAATGCTAAGTGGTAACGTGAGGAACGTGTCACCTCGGAGACGGAAGCAAAGGTACTAACGTCACATGTGCGGCTCAGCATTCGGTCTAATCGTTGGTGCGCAGGTCAAGACTCTCGCCGATGAATGTGCACAGAGCAAGTCCACATACCGAGAGGATCTCGTGAACAAGGAGGAGACCTGTAGCCGTGCAGTTGCAGAGCGTGTCGAAGCCATTGCAGCTGAGACCAAATGTCGACAGCAGCTCAACAACGTAAAAGCCGAACTAGATGCTGCGAAGAAGGTAGTATTCTGTCAATTTCCATCGTCTGTTCGTCACATGCTGATCATATCATAGGAAGTATCAAGGCTGTCGACCGCGAATCACTCGACCCAAAGTCCAGCCGACAAACTTGAACATCATAGCTCAGTGAAGGTATCGCATCGCACGCTCTGAATGTAGATGACAACGACTGACATACTGCCTATGCATAGTTTAGGGTATTCGTAGATAGTTTGCGCGCACTGCCTGCTCCTGCTGTAGCAGTTGATCTCGCAACCCTTAAGCCTATTGAGATGTCGGTCAGTTGCAAATCCCTATTGGTCATTGTATGCATCAGACGATTATGTGCACGCAGATCCAAGCAAGGCATCGACATTGATGCATACTTACTGACTTGTAACATTCTCATGATGTCAACAGCGACCTACCAAGTCAGTGGCCACCTTCGACCTGGAATCGGTGCTGGCGCGGCAAACCGCACACAAAGCGCCGTCGTCTGATGCGGTGGTAAAGACTGTGCCCGAAATGTATCAAATGGGCATCTTGAGAGCGGAAGTCATTGGTCTCCAGTGTATCGGATTCAACCATCGCCTCAACGAAGAGCTGCACTCGAGCAAATCACCTTCTGATGACGCGTCACTGAAATCCGACACCGACGGCACGCCGCTGTCGTCTCTCCTCAAACGGCGCAAACGTCCTGTAGCTGTGGTTGAGAGTTCAGACGACTCGCAACCGCCCAAGAAGGAAGCCAAGATATCTGGATAGGTGTTGGGGTATAGCGAGCCTTACCACTGTACTACGATACAAGTTCGTACTAGTCCGTGTTCCCGTTACATGATGAGTTGACGGTACTTCCCTCAGCGCTGAAGCTTGAAGCGCCGTGGCGGCCCGTGTCTACGTACTCAGACGCTGCCTACGGGGAACTACTACCGATATGCTGTGCATAAAACACTAATTTCGCTTGGAGAGCATACTGTATAGACATACTACGGCCTGCAAACCGCTCTGATCATCTTTCCAGGTAAACAAAACCGCTGGCACAAGGCTCTTGGAGACATACGCATTTCTGAGATGGGCCGGGGCAACGTGGCACTCATGTATACTTCAGACATCTTACAGCAGACATGACTGTGACGCGAACTCAGGCTCAAAGATTCAGCGAAGCGGCGAACTGTGGCTCAACTTCAAGTCACCTCATAGCATGTGCATAATCCATATCCAATTGATACGTGTCGCTTGGCATATCGAGGCTCATCGCACTCGCATTACTCTGATCTAAGCTCTGGAAAGGATAGGCGCGATCTTGATGTCGCTCGTGTCCCACTAGGGTTCCAAGCAGCCTGAGTTCAGCAACGCAATCATTCGACGAAGTAACAACTTACCACGCCGGCCTTGTAGTACGGCTCCTGCTCAATGAGCTTGCGCGCATCCTCCAAGCTGTCTGCCTTGAAGATCAGCAAGGTCCCACCGATGTCGGGAACACCTGTGAGCGGCAACTTCTCGTCCTTGGCCAAGATCGCACCACCGAACTCTACATGAAGTCCACAGTTTGTCAACGAACAAGGTCATCAGACAAGAGCGATGTGGCTGGACGTGACTGGTGGCGATGACAGAGCGAGCGGTCGACTTACTGACGGAGCCATCCGCGAGACGGGCCTGGAACCACTCGTTGTGCTCGCTGTCGAGGGCCTTACGCTTCTCCACGGCGTCGCCGACCTTGCTGTCCGGAGCCCAGGCACAGTACGACATCTGCAGGTTGCTTTGAGACATGTTGGCTGAGGACTGAGTACTGACTCGGAGGCTCTGGATGCGGATTAGCTCTGCTCCTCTGCATCTTATATACATTGCGTGCATGAGCCAACCGCCCGCGCATTACATATGGATCCGAGCAGGAGGCAGGCACTCGGACAGGTGGCCTGCCTGATATGTACGCAAACATAACTGACCGTAAGAGAAGCGAGGCTTGTCGGGTCTGGTGCGCAGTGGAAATACTGCAAATGCTTGGTAGCGCCATTCTCGCAACGTTACCTGGGCAGCACGTTGTATGTGGGCCGACGCTTCTGGCATGTCTCGGTAGCCCATTTGACATTCCTGGCAGACCCGAGCATTGTCCCGAAGCTCAGCAGGCAAGTACTCGAGCGTGGAAGTGTGGACTGACGATAACTGCACGAGCACTGCCGGATTGGGTCGACCACGCTGAGCTTGACAGGGCTAGACAGCTTCGAATGTCATGAGTAAGAGATGGTCAGAACATCAAAGCATGAGGATCGTTATTCAAGGCATACAATACCAGGCCATGTTATGTCCGTGCAGAGTCCCCGAGTGTCCCTGTCTATTGGTAGTTCACGCCTCGAAGGCATATGCCGCAAATTATTGGCAATGATCAGAGCCCTGCTGCCGCTCTCAATGTGTCGTAGAGAGGCGTCCCCAGACCGGTGACCTGCACGATGGTGCAATCAGTCCCTTCGTTTCCTTCGGTAGCTAGAATGCACTTACAGGGTCCCACCCGGTCGTCGCCACGAAGCCGGCCACGGAGCCGTCGGACTCCAGGCACTGCTTGTTATTCCCGTTCACAATATCCGTCACCGCACCCGCCGCCTTCGAGTACAACCATGGGTTCAGGAAGCCCAGCACGGGCTTGCCTGCATTGAGCAGCTCGTCGTTCAGCAGCGCGATAACGCTCGCCCACATCGGCGTCGAGCAACTCGTGCCCGTCGCCGGGTTATAGTGGCCATCGACCACGGTGGCGAAAAGCACGCCGAAGCCACTGATGTCCGGGAAGCCGCGACCGGACGCGTTGTACAGCCCTGTGTCATTGCTACCGAGCTGCTTGAGGTAGGCCGAGACTGCGGAAGACTGGTAGGCCGGCGTGGGGAAGTAGTTGGAGAAGCCGCCGCCCGAGAAGGGCACGCCTTGTTGGTCGGCCCAGTTGATGTCCGCACCCGTGGCACCAACCGAAGTCACGCTGAATAATAAGGATGATATGTCAGATTCTAGTAGTGTGGGCGACAAGGGCTTCGACGTACTATGGGCACGTGTTGGGGAACGTAGGCACGAAGGTCGTGCAATCTTGGTAGCCTGTACCTGAGACGCCACCGTCGCCGGAAGAGAATAAGATTGAGACACCCCTCGCGCCGAGTTGGGCATACGCGTTGCAAAGGTTACTGCACGAGGGCGCGAGCGGTTGAGTCAGTGTTGCCAAGGTTCTCTCCTGACGAAGATATGCGCACTATGCCAGTTTCTCTGAGATCACATTCTCGTTGGAGGAGTAGCTCGTCGTCATCACCGGGGGTGGCGATGTCTGATTGAGGAGATAGTTCACCGTGTCGAGGAAGCCGGACAGCCCGTCATGTGTGTCGTTTCCGGCCAGGAGGTAGGTCACTGGGACGCCCGTGGCAAGGCCGACGGTATACTGTATATCGAGATTCTGCTCCTTCGTTAGTTTGGCACCGTTCCGAAAACATCGATGCCCTTACCCCTTCAGATCCAGCGGTAACATTCTGCAGGTTACTGCCTCCGTCAATCGTCTCTGTCGCGAAGGTCGTCGACGGGTCAATATCTGGCCTGTATCGTTCCAGGAATATCTGAGCACAGCAAGTTAGCTCGGATCATGTTTCCTCGACACTCATGACAACAGACCTTCAGATCGTTCGCATTCGCATATTCCTCCAAATATCCGGCGACCACGATACCGTTGTCGGGATTCGTCGCGGGAATAGTCGGAATGCCATACAGGTACTGGAGGCATGCTACTGTGATATTCGGCTGGGTGTAAGGTCCACAAATAACGCTGACATTCGCATCACGGGCAACGATCGTGCTGTGAGGGCTTGCGGCCGCAACAAACGCGGGTGCAGTGTTGTTCACGATTTGCACCGGGAAGCTAGGCTCCATGCATGTCAGTGCGTGTGGACGTACTAAGATACTTTACGAACCTGATGATGGGATGAATGAGGTCCACATGCTCGGCCAGGTCCACAGGGATCGAGTATTGCAAAGCCCGGATTGTCTGCATGCCTGTAGCTTCGTGTCTGAAGATAGAGAAGTCCGCGTCCAGGAGCTCATTTGCTTTGCTGACTGGGATGTTGACCTCGACCCAGTCGCCCGAAGGTGATACGGGCGTTGCCGTGAGGTTGTTGTCCCCAAGCCATGCGTAAACAGCCTCGACGCTATCCTGCGTCGGCTTGACATAGGCTTCGACCTGGCACAGAGTTTAGGGTATACTCGAGAGCGAAACGAACGGGGACAAACATACCTCTTCTTTAGTCAGGTATTCGCCGTAGTTCGGACTTTCGGGATCACTGACGTCGTAGAGTGTGTCGAGCAGTCCGTCAATATTGCTCTGCACCAGTGCGACCCGAAGATTGAGTACCGTGTCCGGGGATGCAGAAGAAATGAGCGTATAACCACTCGGAGCCGCTGCACGAGCCTCGTGTAGCTGCAAGGTCCGGCGAGCCAAAGGGTTGCCCCACGCGACACCCAAAGCCGAGGCTGCCACCACTGCCCAGAGGAAGCTTACCATACTTGACAATGTCGGCGCAGGAGAGTAGGCCCTGGACTGGGATCGAAGTATCTGGCACAGGTAGGCTTTTGTACCTCCCGCCTGAGCTCGAGATCGGCGAGGGCTATGCGCTGGAACCGCGAACGCCTCGTGAGACCGATATCGCTGTCTCAATTCGGGTTCTCCTGCACAACTCCTGCAGTCTCGGCGATCACACACCGTCTTTTACACACGCAACCTAATACATGTGGTCTCGAGGACGAAAGGCGCGCTGAGCATCGCACGGTCTGCACGCGCCGCTGAGATACCGCTGGATATTTTCTTCGTTCGGGCTTGTCGAACGTCTCGTCTGCCAGAGAACGCGCGGCGCATATGTACGCATTGTCTGCGCAGACATTGCGAAGCTGGTACATGACCAGTACTGCTCAGGAGAGTCACACCACCATGAGTTGAAAACTCAGGTCGAGATAGCAGCCTGATTCTAGGGTGACGTACATCTTTCCTTCGGCTCGAGCCAGGCTTCATTAACAGCAAGAACACGTATAGCAGGGCACAACAAGGAAGGTTACAGTGCAAGATTGATGGGTACGCACAAGGTACGCAGGTGAGGGTCGTGGTCTGCGGATGTGAGTCGGGTGTGAGTACTTGAGTACTGAGCGGAGTCGCCGAGTCAGTGGCAGTCACTGACTACGAACTAGCGGAGATCGAGGCTTGCGATCGCGCGCGCAATGCAAGATCCTGAGAACCCTATTAACCACCTTTTCGTCATAGAGACTAACTTACAAGTAGGAGACTAGGAGAGACGTCGGCGCGGGAGAAGTTGACTCAGAGTCTCCGGCTGGTTTTGAAGGACCTATCCGAGGTTTGAGTCCATACGCATCCTGCCAGGGCCCCGGGGTAACATGGTACGCACGTCTTCTTGATCTCCAAGATTGTAACTTGTTGCGGACCATAGACAGCATGTGTCGACACTTGCTATGGCGAATTCGAATACGATACGATATTGACAACGCACTGGGTACTTGACCGCTGGGGTCGGGCGCAGGCATGACTAGCACACGATCGGTGGTAGTACGTTCCGTACTGAAGCTTTTCGCAGCGATACCCAGTTGCTGCGAGCACTGGCACCAGGGCGCAGGCTCCCAGGCTCCCAACATGAAGCCACAAGCACGTCGCGCTCGGGTTACATCAACCGCAGGCCTGACGCTTCAAGCGTAATTAGCCTCGCGTCTCAGTGTGCCGCCTCGCAGAGTCGCACGCACGGGACCACGAGAATGCATCTATACCAGAACCAGTAGGGCGGAGCGTTCACAGGGCATGAGTGGGCCCGCAGGAGAGACGATTCGGAGGAGGTCCAGGAGAGGTGACGGCAGGCTGTCCGTGACAACTCAAATCAAATGCGGTCTCTGCCTATATCGGTACACACCTCTCTGCTGGACCTGTGCGGACGCACACCCACAGGGGCACGCGGATAGGAACGCAGGGCCCTGGAGAGCGCGAGAGTCGTCTCCCCGCACAACCCGCTGTAACCGGCGCAGGCGGATACAGGACGGCCTTCCTTGCCCGATGAGGTTCCCTCTGCGTTCTTCATCATCCTCGGCCCATCCTCGCACAGGAGGTTGCCTGCGGACCGTACGCCAAAGATGTTCAACTCGGAGTGCGTGAATTTGCGGCGCGGATGAGCTCAACTTGAAGTTGGATGTGGACTGATGGATCAAAGACGGCGGCAGGTGAGCTCGCGCGGAAAGTGACTCGTGTTTGGGGTCGACTCCAAATAACGCGGTTGGGGAGATCCCGTGGAGGAGGCGGGCGCGCACGAAGATGAAGCTCCCTTGAACGAGTAGGTGTCGCGTGGAGGAACCGGATGCTCTGGCCGATGGAGGCCGTATATGTAGTGTTGTGCATGTCTGGATGTTTCGTTTTCTTTTAACTTATTCGTGGCCGTCGAGTCATGGTGGTTGATGATTGAATGGTGCTACGACATCCGAGTCTTCGATAAACTGCGCAAGGCATCATTGTTCGACGCAGACGCCTCCAGGTAAGGTACGGGCACCTGGTATCCTTGTTATCTCCGTTGCGCCAAGAGGCGTTTGAGTCCCAGGAGATATGTAGCATCTAGGATCTGGCGATGTTTGATTGCGTTCGTCAGTTGTTCCAGGGCACTCTTGAGTGACATGTCCTTTATCGCTCGCCTGGATGTCTGAGAACAGGCTCTGAGCACCTCGTCGTCGTGTGACTGTAACCTCGCAGTGTATGCATGCCACATGCACACCGCGGACACTCCGCCAAGTGGCGATCTCGATGCTCCACCATGATTTCGGGAATAGCGAGCATGACTTTTCCGCATTCCCGACATTGCGTCAGTCCCCCCGAACCCGTAATCTGTAAATCCAGCTGCGGAAAGTAGGAGGGAAGGAAGTGGCGGTCCATGAAGTGCCGTTCATAGCTCGCAGAGTCCGTGAGAACGTAGTGGCACGTATCGGCGAAACCACAGATGCGTATCTCCGGCATGCGGTCGAAGTCATTTGAGGACAGGGTTCTGCTGATTGGCTTTGAGTAGCTTCTGGTGAAGATATCCCATCCCATTCGGATGAAAGTGAGCTGGAACGTCCGCCATGCAGATTTTGGAACTGTTGAAACGATGGGGGACCAGGTCCTGAGAAATAAGAAATCCCCTTGGTGTATACCTGTAGAAACGAACTGCTTGAACGATTCACTGCCTTCCTGTTCAACGTGGACGTCGAGTCGTCGCACAGACGGATTACAGGCTAAGCTCAGTGTGGTTTCATTCACGTTGCACGCTACCAACGCACTTTGAGAGACGACAAAGGCACAATTGAAGCGATGACGTACCTCGTCCTGGCATGCCAGCCAGAGATATGTGCTCTAAGGAGGGTCCAATCACTTGCAGAAGCCTTGTGGACAAATGGGCGCCTTGACCGACGACCTCAGTGATGGTCAGGTCTGTTACGTGCTGGCACGGTGGATGTGCCGTGACGAACCAATCGACCAGAGCAGCGAGTAGCCTGATATCCAAGTGACATAGCTCGAGCCGCCGCAGACGTGGGACGGATACGTGGGTTTGGAGCCGCTCAGGAGGAGCTAACGATAGAGCCGGAGGGCACTCTGGCAGTGCGTATTTCCCGTCACGCAGAACCAGGCTGTCCAGCTGTGGGGATGCGAGGATGATGCGGCGAAGCTGGCCGAAGCTGGCCAAGACGAAGTCGACAATCTCCAGGCTACGGAGATTTCTGAACAGGCGCAGACCCCTGGTGAAGGTCGGGTGCATTGACGGACGTATGCATCCCTGGAAGACGAGATTGCGCACGCCCGGCATATAAGCACCCAAGACCAAAGGTACTGTACGCTGTCGCAGAAGGGCTCGTCACCATAGCGCTGGTGGATCCTGAGCGTCGTGGTGCGGTTGAGTCTCTGCATTACCCGCGCATCACGCTTGAGGTACAGATCTCGCAGGATCATGAGACCTTCCCGGTCGCGAATGCACAGGTCCGGATAGCGGACGTGACCCCTCCCGGCAGACGAGTGCGACCGACGATCGGTCCGTCTCCGAATCGAGGTGAGGGAAGATGTTGTATAAGACATCAAGAGGAATACGTCGCGAGAGTGATCGGGGGAGGGGATATACGTGTTTGCTGGGGACCGGAGTCCAATAATATGCGTCCCAGTCGATGTCGAGCTCCTCAATATCTTCGTTAGGTGAAGCACTCGACCCCAGAGGTATGTTATCGCAGAAGCGCGAATAGCCATAGCGCTGTTGGATCTGGGGGGTTGTGGTGCTGGGAACTGGAGCCCAACAATACGCGTCCCAGTCGACAGGTCTGGGCACGCTCAGGTCGATGTCGAGCTCCTCGAGATCTTCGTTCATGGCCGACGGGCGATGATGTCTAAGTAGATGTTGGTCTCGTCACTATTGCCAGCATATGCAAGAAACAAACAAACCTGTTCGCGTCTTGAATAGGAGGTCCACGGGCTTGCTCGCGGTTTTCCTACCAGCTATTTAGCGGCTTGAGGGGCGCTGCGCTTCCGTATTTTACGTGAAGGGTACCGTGGCGCGGCATACGTAGAACACGAAGGGGCACAGAAGCGAGTCGATGGCTTCACAGCATTCTGCGATAACACTTATAGATGGAGTTCCATACGAACGGATCTACGACCACAGAAAGCTCTGAATCTTGCTATAAGATACACCTCCCCCGGTGGCTGTTTGCGTCTTTTGTATAGAGAAGCCAGGCATGACAGAACTCTGTCGACGACAAGCGACGCATGGGCGCAGGGAATCCTCTATTACCCGCAGATATAGCCACGGTGCTTAGACATAATACATCGCCTTGCACCGCGCAAGTCCTAATGTCATGGATCAGTCATGCCGCTCAGTGGCTAGTCCGCAGTGGACCAGAAGCACGGACCTCATTCTCCCCTCCACCGCCTCAGCATCCTTCTCACAAAGCCAGGCTTCTCTCTCCGCAGCACCTCCGGCATCGCTAGCTCCTTGAAGAATCTCCCGTAGCGCACACTCGTCCAATCACGCGCCGCTCCCCGGCCCTCGCTGAGCACCCACCGCTCGACGCCCCTCAAGAACTGCATCTCCAGCCGACGCAAGATCGGGCTGTCGCGCTCCCACACTGTGGTCGTCAGAATCGCTAACGGGCCCACTCGCACGCGCAACGAGGAAGTCGGAGGAGCGAAGACGTCGAGTTCCTTGCTGGGGCTATCGACTGAGTCTGGCTGCTCGTCCGCGATTGAAGGGGCGCTGGGCTGTGATACCCGCTCGTGGCGAGCCATACGGTTGGCCATGACGGTATCCGTGAATATGCGATCGCCGACGACGACTAGTTCCTCGTCGCGAATGGGTCGAGGGAGGGAAGCGAAATATGCGCGGATGGAAGCTATACATGAGTAGGATGGTTTGAGGGAAGTGTGGCGGAGGACTGGGACAGAGAGGTGATGTGATACGGACTCGGCCTGCAAGCATACGCTGAGTCTCGGAGGGAACGGAAAACGTAGAGGAATACCTGGATCTCGCCTGCGTCCAGATGCGAGCCAGCGGAGTTGCTGACAATGAGCACGTTTTGAGGCCCGAAGGTTTTGCGGCATTCGTTCCAAGCATCCTATAGAATCGTCGAAGAGGTGAGCAGGCAATAAAGCTGTCCGGACTCATGCGTGACGCACCTTGAGATCCGGAACGAGGGTGTCTCGATGTGGAGGAGTCTGTAGTTTTATGCCTTCCAGCCAACTGTCGTTGTGGAAGCAGGTTACACTCACAAGACAGTTGTCCTTGTCGAACACAGCACCTCGGTACCCCGCGCGACGCAGCTCGGGGAAGTCAAGCTGGCGAATATCTTGCTAGAAACGCGCTGTCAATAAGACCAGTGCATTCCCGCAAAGCAACCAGATTCCCAGACCTTTCACAATCATCTGCGGGACGATCAACCTCGGATTGATGAGAAGGTGGAGAGGTACTAGCGTGCCCGGAATATTGAGCGGCATGTTTCCCAACCAGTCGCGTCTTCTGCTGCGGCTGCTCTGCTGATCGCGTGTCCTAATGTGTACCCTCCAGCTGACCTATCCTCCGAACATCTAACCTATTTCCCGGGATGTCGGAAATTGAGCGTGCTGGCAGAGGCAGAAGGTGGGGAGGACTTCCGGTCGACGCGGGATGCCTGCCGGAAAACGACGTATGGACCCACGTGACTTCCCGTGCATAACTGACCTCCCCTCGTCCCACTCTCGCCTGCACGCCCACCACTCCAGACACTCCTCGTTTCTCCCGTCGTCGCTCGTCGCGATGCTCGGAATCTGTGGGCCGCTGAGGACGCGGTCGGTGGTGAGGATGCTGCAGCCGACAGCGGCAAGACCACCAATGCGACTACCATGCCGGGCTGCATTCGCGCAGAGGTTGCTCACCACGTCTCAATCCTCTCCGACATCTCCGTCGACGAACAACACCTCAACACCATCGCAGTCGGACTCTCCTTCAAAGAAACCGCAATCACCACCTCCATTACCCACCGAACCTCCTGCGCCGAACCCCTCGGTCCTCTCGCGCGTCCTGCCCGCGTCGCTTGCGGAATCAGGCAAGACCGCCTCATCCTTCCGCAAGATTGTCGCGCTCGCAAAGCCCGAGCGCAAGCCGCTCGCAATCTCTATAGGGCTGCTAGTCATCTCGAGCTCAGTCTCGATGAGTATACCGTTCACGGTTGGACGACTCATCGACTTCTTCACGTCTCCACTGCCGGTGCGTCATACATTGCAGATCCCCGAGCCATTCGCCGCGGATGAGAACTCTTCGGAGTAAGCGGTACCTGCGACACTTGTTGTATGGCGTGTGAGCTTTCAGCAGTAAACTGCGTACAGGCGGAGCTCCTTCGCACCAGCAACCTACGCGGTGTGCGCGTGCGCCATTTGAAAGGACCGCGAGGTTGATTCATGTCGACTAGCCGACTTGGGCTCTCCTCCGTGGTGGCGGCTCCGGGTACTTGCACCGTTCCTCAAAATGCATTTGCTTACAACATACATCGCTTGTGCATACAGCAAATACCTTTCGGTCTGACTCTGGGTTCAGCTTCGGCATTGCTGTTTGCAATGTTCACCGTTGGCGCGGCGGCGAATGCGGGACGTGCTATGCTTATGCGGTTATCAGGTCAACACCTTTCGGGCAGTAATGGTCTGCTGAGATGCTAAATGTCCTTTCCAGGTCAACGGATCGTGGCACGACTTCGCGAGCGCATGTATGGTGCTGCACTACAACAGGAAGTTGAATACGTTGAACGTGGAGAAGGAGATGTACTCAGTCGGCTAAGTGTGGATTCTAACGTTGTTGGTGACAGGTATGTCAATGTCATTCATCTGGTTCGTCCCAGTGGTCCATAACCGGCCAAGGCGGCACAAGCCCTAAAGACGGAAATGCGTGCCACATTCTCAGTCATTTTGCATTTCCGTCATGGAGGAAGTAGCTCAACTGATCCACAGTCTGACCCAGAACCTCTCGGATGGCTTACGGTCAATAATCATGTCTTCCGCGGGCTGTAGGTTTCCTTCGATCATGAGCATCGCATATAGCTGAGCACAGGACAGTGGGGGCGATGTTCTACATCTCACCGAAGCTGACGTTCCTCATGCTTGCGATTGTCCCTCCCGTATCTCTCGGTGTCGTGCGTGCCCTTCATTGTCTCGAACGAGCGCACCCTTAGATTCTAGGCGCGAGTAGGTCTTCTACGGTAGATACCTGAAGCGGCTGTCCACGAGGACGCAAGAGGCCCTAGGCGAAATGACGAAGGTGCTTGCTCTGAGCAATCTACATAACTTCAGTCTCTGACGTCATCCTACTCGTGACAGGTTGCGCAAGAATCACTCTCGGCACTGCGTACTGTGCAGGCGTATAACGCCGTCCCGCATGAACAACAGAAGTTCCACGAGAAGGTCGGAGACGTTCTCGCTCTCGCGCGCAAAGAGGCCATCGCGTCTGGGATCTTCTTCGGTAGTACGGGATGGAGCGGGAACGTGACACTACTGGGTCTACTAGGTTTTGGTCAGTGTTGCTACGCGATTCATGAACGAACGTCGCTTGACTTGATGTTATACGCAGGCGGAACAATGGTCTCACAGGGACAAATCTCGGTCGGTGACTTGACGAGTTTGTTGCTGTACACTGTCTATGTCGGCAGTGGCCTGCAGATGCTTACGTACGTACTTCCTTCTCTCCGTACTTCGCACACACTCACTTCCCTGCCAGATCGTTCTTTGTACGTTCCTATCGCTCCTGCATTCCAGCCACACCCTAACGCGAAGCTTGCACAGACATCGATCATGCGTGGCGTTGGCGCCGGAGAGCGCATCTTCGAGCTCCTGGATCGCCATCCTGCCATCCCGCCGTATACAGGTGCGGCAGTGGACCCGACCCGGCGCGGTCCTGTGCGCTTTGAGGGCGTGTACTTCCAATACCCGAGCCGGCCGGGCGTGGAGATTCTGAAGAACCTCGAGCTTGAGGTTAAGGTTGGCGAGAGCGTCGCGCTTGTGTGAGTTGCCTCGGCTGCGTCAAAGTGCGTATGTGAGGAGTTGGCTGACGTGATTCTAATTGCAGGGGTCGGAGTGGCAGCGGAAAGTCATCGGTCAACGCGTTGTTGCTGCGGTACTACGATCCTGTCAAGGGCAAAGTCACTTTTGATGGTCAAGGTCTGGCGATTCCTCGCACTCATGATGACATGTACACTTACCGTATATCGTTCTCAGACATCCGCGAATTCAACCCAGCCTCGTGGCGCAATATTATGGGGGTCGTACCGCAGGTCAGTATTCGCCAAGACATACCCCAGAGAAGATTACTTATGGTCTCTGTAGGATCCCGTATTGTTCACTGGCACCATCGCTTCCAACATTGCGTACGGCAATGAGACCGCGACGCGCGAACAAATCGAGGCTGCCGCACGCGAGGCGAATTGCGAGTTCATTTGGGGCATGCCAAAGGGCTTCGACACAGAGAGTACGTAATCTCTTCGGCTTCGCAAACATGCGCCCTGACGAAGACGCGCAGTTGGGCGTCTCAGCCTGAGCGGTGGGCAGAGGCAGCGACTGGCTATTGCGCGAGCACTGCTGAAGAAACCGGCCATCCTCGCTCTAGACGAGGCGACGAGCTCCTTGGACGCTACTTCCGAACACCGGGTACGTCGAGGTTTCATCGAGGTGACACCGACTGACGCGCGCATCTCCCAGGTGAATGACGCGATAGACAAGATCCTGAGGTCCAGACAAACGACCTGCCTTATCGTGGCACATCGCCTGTCCACAATCGCCCGCGCGGAAAAAATCGTTGTCCTCGAAGGTCCGTAGCGCGATCGCCAGCCCTCGTATTACGGCTGATAGAGTTTGCGCATGTCCAGACGGCCACGTTGTGGAGGCAGGGACGTACAGGCAATTGGTAGGAGCCTCGTTTCCGCAGCTTTTGTGGGGACCTTCCTGATCGTTATCCCACAGGTGAATAGGGAAGGGTCGAGATTCCGCGCACTCATGGCCGCGCAGCTGAGTGCCGCGGCAGGCGACACGCCAGCGGAGTTGCCCGCGGGAGAGGGGTCGCATAATCCCCAAGAGCAGCGACCTCAGCCCGAGGCGCAGCTCTGAAGCGGAAGGGTAACCTCTGCTTGTTTGTCGTACGTAACATCTGTCGCCACTCTTCGGACAAATGCGCGAGAGCGGAAAGGGTATTGTATCGCTTATCAGTAATGTTGTATCTAGACGCAGATTAGACCGCTGCATGCGTTCAGTCTTGCAGGCAATCAGGACACTTCGCGAGGTAATCGGAGCGTCAGGTGCGCAGGGTGTTGCAGACTCACGGCAATGAACGCAATTTTGCGTCTTCGCATCTACCGCTTGGGAAGACGCCGCGGGCCATGCGGCTTGCGCATGGCTGCGAGCGTGTGAGCCGGATATGACTCGCCGAGTAGACCTGAGGCCACATAAATGTCTCTGGCTTCGGCGAGAATGACCTTCTGTTCATGTCCCCGCAGGCCTGGCCACCGGCAAATACGAACGGTCTCTTTAGTTTCATTGCATCCTCTGTCGGACTGATCACACCCTCACGATCCCAAACGAAGAACATTAACATGCCGCCTCGAAAGAACCCCGCAAATTCCCCGACCACCTCAAATAAGCCCAACAAACGAGACGATAAGACAAATCCGACGTCGCAGTCGAAGGCCGAACCGGCACCATCATCTACCGACATGTCAAACAGGTACAGCACGGCAAGCACGATGAGTACTATAACTACGCTCGCAGCGGCGGAAATCGTCGAAGACGCGAAGAAGTCGCTGGATCGCTTGGGCGTTGGTATTTCTTTCAAGTTCAATGTTTCTTGCTCGCTGAATGGTCGACGGCCATCGTTGTCTGTCGCTCATCCCGCGATCAGGAATCATACGACGACTTCGCGGACCAGATGACTACGATCGCCCAGCTAGGCGCGGAACTGGAGGCAGCGGAGATGACGAACAGGTGCGCGGAGATGAGTTGGTGCGCAGAATGATCGTGATCGCTGACGGCCGTGCAGACTGCGGAAGATGATGGACGCGGAAGACGAAAGACTCGACAAAGAGTTTGCCGGAATCCGAGGTCGGTTTCTTGCGCTATATGCGAACTCGTTGAACGAGCAATCAGCACAGCGCTTCAAACCGAGGTTCTCCAGAAGGATGTCGTTGAACACCTCAAGATAGCTGGTTCGTGCTCTCCCCCGCGTTTGTTATACTGGACGTAGATCTGAATGGTATGCACAGTCGGGCAGGGCGTATCTGACCTGATCGACGAGCTCGTCGCGGAGCAAGTCAAAGCGTTGCTCCCTCAGCATATTCGGCCGGAATTGCTTGCTGAACTCGCTCGCCATAAGCAGGAACTAGCAGAGGTAGAGAGAGACCTACATAACTCGTCAGTGGCTTTTGTCCCGTTCCTGTGTACTGCAGTGCTGGATACTTACTATTGGGCTCAGGGAAAGTCGGCGCATGAATGCACAGATACGGACAGGAGGTCTGTCCGATCCTCTTCGCATCATCCTCAAGGACGACGGGACGGTCAGCAAGGACTTCCCGAAAGACCTACAGACTTTGTTGGGAATGAAAGGTAATGTTATTTCACCTAGTGAGTATGCGTGCAAGCTCAATCGTGCCTCTGTGCGCGGACAGACAAGTCTATCGAATCGCTGATGAAGGAGTACCACCTTACCGACATTTCCAAGTCGCAAGACACAAATGTCAATCGCCTCATGCGTTTCTTGGGGCTGTCATACCAACTGGTGCGCAGCCCCATATCATCTCCCCGCCCTCGCACTTAGCCTTGACCTCCATGGCATCCGTGTACCCTCCACCGCCGGTCTCGCATTCGCTTCCATCTCCGTCGTCGATACCTATCATAGGTCCCGACGAGCGCAGGCGGGAACGTTCTGGCGAAGATCAGCGCGCGTCGAGGGTGATGTAGTTTCTGGCAGGTTATCGCTGTCGCGTTCAGGTCTCTGTAGGATAGTTTCGCCCACGCTAGCATTCATCACAATCATCAATCTCATTCACGGAGACGGCTATTTGACTGATTCAAGGTAGATCGACAGGCTATACAGTATTGTCATTGTACGGACAACCTGGCTTGTCTGACGATTCACTTGTTCGACGTCATGTCTATACTGACTCAATTGCGCGCCAGCATCTCATGAATCGCGTGCGGTGGCGAGCGGTATCAGACGAGCGAGTATGGAGTGCGGGACTGGACGTATGTATGTTTAGGAAAGCATTCAGCGAGCTGGGGATACTGGAGGTTCGAGGCTGGTGAACGAGTCGAGGTGGCGAGCGGACGATTCAGAGGGTATACGCGCAGCCTGTGTCAGCGAATCGACATGAAGGTGCGAGTACAGACAAAATTGGCAAGACGTATGGCTTACTCCTAACTTATGTGGATGCAAATAATGAAGAAGGGCACATTCAAGCGCGTGTTGGGGTTGGAACAGCAGCGTGCCACCGCCGGCCGCTGGGGCACTACTAGTAGCGCAGCAGCCCCTGCGGCTTTACGAAGGCGTTGCATTCCGTACGGCATCTCGGACAAGGGTAGGTTGTGTCACTTCTATGCTTCGGCTGGAAAGATGCAGTGCGAAGAATGGAACTGCAGAGTATAAGACGATCGATTCCTCCGCCGACATGACTCGGAGATGTCACGGTTCCGATTCAGGGCCCCCTGTTGGTAACTGGTAAGTGCTCCACTGTTTGGAGGGGACTCTTTAAATAACCCCCAAGGCAGTCGCGCTCGACTAGTACCTTATTACGCGGGCCTTGTTCGTGCGGTAAATACAAGATGAGGCCTGAGAAAGGCGCACTGGCACATGTCATGGCGTTGACAGTGACAGCACTATGTAGTGAGTACTTACTTGTTCTGTTACGTCGTCCGTAGAAGCACATTGACGACCGTGGCATATGCCAGTGCACTGCCCTGTCATGTCTTCTCGGGTATCCCATGATATACATGTCATAGGTCCGAGTCGTGCGCTTGACCTTGCAACCCAACGACCTTTGGTCTACACTCTTTCCTTCGAGTCACCCTGCTCCTCTCTCTAATCCCCAGGTAGACGCATCAATCGGAACCGGTGAGGAATTCATCCTCGTAAACAAACATCACTGATCTGAATGCGTAAGTTGGCCGACTCTGGTGTATCTCAAGCTAGTAGGCCAGCGAAATACGTGTCACTTCGACGAGGTTCACCGACCCTTGTGCTGTCAGCGAGGCTCCTGTGTAGTCGAAATTCACCTCGTTCGCCTTGGCTTGCAATATCTTGACAAGGCACTAGTAGCTCTGGCTTTCTTCCCGGTTCCTGAGTGAGTAGTTCTCCTCTTACGGCGGCAGACCCACACTAAATTGTCCGAAGTCACTCACAGCAAACCATGGATACTCTTGATCCGACCTCTGCTTACGCCTCTGACGTGGCGCATGGCATACACGGCAACGTAGACTGGGATTTATACTACTGGGCTCCCATCCCCAGCAGATACATCTTATTCCCTCTCCCGCGACGTCTCTCAGAACGAGTTTCTCTCGACGTATTATACAACATCGTGGACAACCTCGATTCTGAAGTTGATCGCTCGTCAGTCGCACTCGTCTGCAGAGACTGGTACGAACATTTCGGATATATCCGCTACCCGGACCTCTGCATCCGTAGTCGACGGGGCCTCAACCTTCTACTCGACACCTCCCTGGCCAGCGGGCGGATGAAGCGGAGACTTGATAACACTACAACGCTCCGGATACACCAGGACGATGGGGACTCGAAAGCCTCCTACTACGATGCCGTACCTTTGACTCTTGCGACTCGCATGCCGGCCGTGCGCAGCCTTGTCTTCCACGGATGCATACGGCCCCACATGCACTCCAGTTTTGCTAGGAATCTACATCTATTCAGGCACATTCTCAGCCTGGAGCTCTCCTCCTTCGCCCTAGAAAGCTTCGGCGAACTGCGCCGCATCATCGTTGCATGTCCACGACTGCACACATTGATTCTGCGCGACGGAAAATGCGTAGCATCTCGTCCGCCTTCCCCAACGACTCTCGCGCAATCTATGCAACGGCAGAAATGTACCCTCCAGCTCCGGCGGCTCGAGCTCCGCCGACTAGACTTCATTCTATCGGCTGCTCTCGTAGCCTGGCTTGTAATGGCTGGTCCGGTATGCTGTGAGGGCATAACGGACCTAGCCGTTACAGAGGTCACCGGTCCAGTAAGCCAGATGTGGATTCAACTTCTGCAAGCGATCGGACCCTCTCTGGAGACCCTACAGTTGGTTTGTGCTCGAGGCCGAGGTACGTCGCCAAGTTTCACTCACGCCAAATGCAACATCATTTTCATTCCACCATTCCAGGCTGCACAACAGTCGATGAGCTGGCTCTCAGCCTGGCGTCGAATCCGAACCTGCGACGTCTGGAAATCCTGATCGAGCCGGATTATAACGATTTCACGGACATGCTCAGTCCGGAGGAACTTGACGATGGATTCCCGAGGACCTCGGGCTGGTGGCCCATATTCAAGACGGTCCCGCGGGTCGCACAGGCGGACATCGAAGTCAAGTTCACCCGAACGGTGTGGGACGCGTTCGCCAGAAGTTACTCAAGGCCGGTCAGCAAAATCATACATAGTCGCTCTCACAGTCCGCTCGAGGAATTCGTCCGAGTCGGTCGTGCAAGGACCAGCGGTGAGTAATACAAGTCCTGAATCCCTATCTATAACACGCACTTTTGTTGACCTCCTCCGCTTTCCTCAAATTCCTTCCTTACCAAAGCAGTATCCAAAGGCGGTCTCGGAAGCGCATCGCCCCGTGTTACCAGGTCCTCAACAAGACGCGCCGCAAGACGCGCCGCGGCGGTGAAAAAGATGCTGGGCGGTAGCCCGCTGTTTGTCGACGCTTTCGACCGGTTCCTTTTGTAGGCATGCTTTAGAATATGTTCTGTCCGTCTCTTCTGCGTTCGCTCCAGAACCATCAAGACCGCCTATGTTCGCTACCGTGTCATTATTTGCTACAGACTATGATGATGAACGATGTTTATGTGCTTGTACTTACTAGTAGAGCAAAGCAATACATGCATTGCTAGGTCATCATTACCTGAGACACAATGTATTCCACCTAGTGAAGTGCATGTAAGTTACACCTTTCTGCGTGGTTGGTAAGGTTCTCAACTGTGATATGTTGCTGCCATCGCAAGCCAGACCAATATCGCACTTCGGGACACCACATTGGAGGATTTAGAGTTCGACGAAAGACGTCAACAGTAAGGCTTCGCAGGGCCTCGCATGGTCATACGATAGAAACGCTGGCTTGTGCACCGAAATGCCTCGCGATGATCCAGCAGCACCTCAACAGCGTCCACAGAACGATGCTATATCAGATTGACGCACATCCAGACACTAATATTGATCGTACAGGACAGAGTTCACTAACGGGGGGGGGGGGGGGACCGAGACGCGGAGGACGTACCGTCGTAACTACTTCCCGTCACCCATCAGCCCGCTGACCACGCGCACGACGATGCCCACCGCCTCCATAACAGTCTCCCGCTCATCTTCCGCGACAAGCTTCAATATCCGGCCCTCGAATTTGTCCGGGTGAAAGCGCAGCATCGTTTCCCGAAGCTTGTCCTTCCGTCCTTCTTCCCAGCCTCGGAGTCGTCCTGTATCAACAAGAACGCGGAGATCGTCTCAACGGTGAGGTCGTCCATGGTCAGTTCCTTCGTTCTCCGACCGGAGAGTTCAGGAGGTAGAACGGGCCACGGGATGTCCGCAAAGCGCATTGGCCTGTCCG